GAGGTATAATCACACCATCTTTCATTTCTTTCAAGTCAATTCTCTTAAATAATATTAGGAACAGTATGGTTATTTTATGGGTATTTCTGATGGTTCTGTCATATTTTAATTTCCAGGGTAAGATTGAATTTTGTTTATGAATTCAAGAAAATAATAATGAGGATGTTGAATATGTCAAAGAGTATGAGTTATTATTTGAAATGTTGTAGAGCCATGTGATTAAACACATAATAAGTGATAATAAAAACATCTCCGTGTTTATGTTATCAGTCTTATTTGAAATTGCAGGTGTATCTGTAATTGCTTTCAATCCTAACTATTGCAGACATCTAAGGGTCAGTATATCAGCATTGGTTTTGGGCTCTCATTCCTTTATCTTCATTGACAATCTGCAAAAGGCTAATAAGTTCATTTAAAGCAGATACATACTGTTACGGTGATAGAAGTTAAATAGAATATAAACCTTAACATATGGGCATTGGTGTATTAATCACTAAACTGTTCGATGATAATACATTTACTGACAAAAAGTTCTGCACCATGACATTGACTTTGGTGGTGAAAATATAGAGCAAAGGTTTTGAACTGGGGTGAGAGTGATTGCACAACACATATAAAAATTTGAATTTCTCAATCAATCATTCATTTTGTTAAAGGTTTTAGCAAAAAGTTGGATCACACACTCACACAGATATAAGAACAGCCATTAGTATTCAAAGTGCTTTACCCTTGTATCTAGAGCATTCAAATGAGTCATTGAAATACATGATGATATTCTTATGGATGCTATTTATCCTCTGGTGGTGGTCCTTAACACCTTGGATATATTTTCAGCTCGTGAGTTGGATGTCAAGTTACCTTGCCAAATTTTGAGTCTGAAAGTACACTCATCAAAAGTGCATGTTTTGTATTTCATAAGTGTAAATCCAGTACAATGACCCATGTTTGTGTGTTTATGCATTGCATGTATGTGCTTGTCATTGTTATTTAACACACAGCTGCTATGTCTCTCATCATTGCATGTATATCTCATCCTATCCTTGCACCTCTCTGGTTAAGTAAATTGACCTTCATAGATAACAACTGCAAATTAGACAACACAATCAAAATCTGATTTTCACATATATGCTCCCTCCCCAGTGTATCCTGCTTAGTTCATTTTTTGCTTCTTTCCTGTACCATACATATTTTACCATGGGTGTCACCTGTATCATACAAAGAAGACTTTGGATGTCACCTGTATCATACATAGAAGACTTTGGGTGTTACCTGTATCATACATATTTGACTATGGGTGTCACCTGTATCATACATGGAAGACTATGGGTGTCACCTGTATCATGCATATTTGACTATGGGTGTCACCTGTATCATCCAGATTTTTGACTATGGGTGTCACCTGTATTATACATATCTGACTATGGGTGTCACCTGTATCATACATAGAAGACTTTCGGTGTTAACGGTATCATACATAGTTGACTTTGGGTGTTCTTTGTATCATACAAAGTTGACTTTGGAGTTACAGTGTATCATACATAGTTGACTTAAGGTGTTAACGGTATCGTACATAGTTGACCTGGGTGTTCTCTGTATCATACAAAGTTGACTTTGGATGTTTTTTTGTGTCACTCATAGTTGATTTAATTTTACATTATACCATACATAGCTGACTCTAGGTATCACCGGTATCATACATTGTTGATTGTGCATTTGATGTCACCTTACATCATGCATAAATGATTTTGATGTTACCTTATATCATGTATAGTTGACTTTGGGTGTTACCTTGCATCATACATAAATAGTTATAGTTTTGTTGACTGACTAATGACTAAACATGTACATGGAAAGTTATATTCTATTGTGATTCCAGTTCTACAAATAAGTGGCTAGGCCCGACAGCCTATGGCAATATTAGGTAATAATGGTAATAAATATATATTGTCTTCATGGTGTTTGTACATTGTAAAAGCGGAAAGGGATATGTTGTAATTAGTGCGGAATAAAACTGCAATCCTCGTGTTAAAGTAGTCCCCTTCAGAATAATAAATAACTGAAAATATTAAACCAGCTGTTGTATATTTTATTTATCTAAGCATATTATTTTTAATTTCTATTCAGTTATATAGCTTTTTATGTAGTTTATTCTTTATAGCGTACAGTGTTTATCTCAAATCTGCGCCTGTTCTTTTCTTTAGTGTTGTTTTGCCCCTATTGAATATAATAGGATGGTATCTATGTAATGATTCATGCAAAATTGAATATTTTTGGTGCCTCTCCCTTAATGTGAAAGTGTTGATCAGTTGATTAAGTTAGTCGTAAATTATATAATGTTTTATTTTTGGTAGATATATCATCTGAGTTTGGTTCATTTTACGTTTTGAGCACATCGAATGGGGTTGATTCTAAGGGAAAATGGCAGATATCTTTCAATACTTTTCTAGATATTTTTTTCATAATTTTCAGATGAGTATGGATCAATGAACATTCAACACTTATTGTTGATGCGTTTTACCTAGTAAATAAATTCCCTCAATTTTGTGAATTTGATTTACACCAAGCAAATGAAAGTTGGCCCTTACCCCATCCCCCAATGTAACTAAACTTACTTACTTAATTAACGTGTTGATATGTTCCTGAACCATCATATACTTGTATAGTTCAAATATATGCAATTGTAAACCAATTCAGTCCAATTAATATCATGCACCTATGTTACTTTGTTTTCATCTTAAAATGACCCAGATTCTAATCAAGTACCACATTTAATAAATTTGAAATATCTACTGATTTAAAAGTGAATAATTCAAGATTTTTAGCTATCATCAAGAAAACCGAGACAGGTTTTAACTTGCAGTAGTGTAGTTTTCTCAAAACATGGCATACAAAGACACAAACCAAACACGTTCATCGTTTATGTTCTTATATACATATTGTTTAAAAATAATCATCTTGGCTCATATGAGTTACTAATTTTTTTTGATAATTATGATTATGTTGATTGCACACTTTTGTGAATTGTGATTAGGTTTAATTAAGCAATGTCTTGATCATCACATTCATGCTTTTCTAATTTCCCCAGCACAACTTAATAATAATTTATTTGTATTTACACTGTCCATAATAAAAAAGTATATCAATAATAATCTACATTTTACCAAATATTGTTTAGGCTGTCTGGGATTGATCACTTGATAAATACTCCTGAGGTAACATATCAAATCTACAGTTATGCCCATGGTTTAAGGAGCTGCCAACTACCAGAATGCTTATCAAATATAAAACTACCTGGCTAATGGAAAAATCCAAGCTTTTTGGTCCTTAATGTTTATCGAAATAAAAACACTAGTGGTTACCTTACAAGCCTACCATATGCATGTCCTATTAAGCTATTAAGCTTGGAAAACAATTCCTTATGACACCTATGAAGCTTATTCCTTCAAAAAAGTATCACACGTTCCATTCAATTTATTCTGCAGACCCTGTTTCAATTTTTTTATTCATTTTTTTAAAGATTTTATTTCTACAAAATCTTTCATACAGTATAACTTACTGATCTATATTCTGATTGGTTCACTGATGGCTAACAATTATTTTACACCAATCAGATCATAGACATTATGAGTTCCAAGTTGACAACTGTATATTTAATTTCTATTCAGAGAGTAATCATTGTCTCACATAATATCAAAATATTTACATTACTTGATTTCTTTTGCAATGAATATTATTTGCATGAGTGTTTTCGGGCAGCATGATATGGGCCTGTTTCCATTGAATTGTAACCACCAAAGTGCTACTTGATATCCAAACAAGATGACTTATGTACTGATGTGAAACTTTTTAATGTACTAAAGTTTAAACTTTTTAAATTTAAATTACAATGTAACACCATGAAACAGAATAACAAGTGCTATAACAAAATATGAACTAAGTTTGAAAAAATTCTGTCGAAAGGCATTTATTAACTTACAAATTTTATGACCATTATTATTTTATAACTGACTCAGTCCTCTGATTGCACAAAAAATGGTTATTCATGTTTCAGTAGGCGGGACACTTGTTGTACATTTTCAAATCAGTAATTAGAAATTATGTGTTTTTCATAGCATTAATTTAAGATTGGTTACATTTTTAAATTTGTTCCTCCTTACATGTGTCACTCTTGACCAATGCAATGTAGGATCTAAATGGGTATACAATAAATTATGGGATGTATCCCTCCTTTTGTCACTTTTCCCAGGCCTAAACATGAATGACCATAGTAGTTTGAGAGCTGTGAATTTAAGGCTTTCTCAGAACTTATTCATCAACCTGGTTTGAAAATATTATACACACGATTTCTCTGATTTAAATATCAGAACAACTATTTTATAGTATCTTTTCCACTGTATGGCATTAATGCGATATCTAAGTATTTGTTATTGAGTATAACATTAATGCTTCTGCGCTTGTGTGGCAAAACCCATAATATTCCCATATTTATCCATTTTGATTTGAGATTTTGATTGTGCACTTCTTGAAATACCATTAAATCCTTGCACATTTTGCTGTAGCACCAAAATGCTTTCAATTAACCTTTGTTAATGATCTGAATCAAAATGATGAATAAAATCATCATGAGAATTTACTTTAGTAGCGGTAAAACTATTTTTTTTTAACTTAAAAATTCAGTTAGCGTGAGTTTCACCACTCTTAATTAATTAATTTAAAGAATGCTATTTAGAATGAATGAACTCAATGTATAATAAGTAATATAATATTATATCAGTCTGCTGTTTATGATAAACAAATTGTTATGGATAATGCATGGTAGAGACCTTAACTCATTTGTCCATTAATACAAATACAAGAAGATTTTGTGTCATCCAGTTGATCTTTGTAACATTAATTCCTGACTCTGACATACCTTCAATTAAATTCTTGGACAAATGATTTAATACATGGATCCATCTGTCCGCAATTGTTTAATAATGTGGTTTTAATGTTTCTTACAGTACGGGGAATTCTACCAAGAACATAATATGGACGGAGAGGGAGGAGAACGGAGAACGACCAACAGCTTCAGACGGAACCAGAACCATGCCACTTACGTCCCCAACGCGTGAGGGATTCCAACATCGTAGAAGATACTCTGACACTTCGAAGTTAATATGGGACAGCACAGTATAAGCATTTTCAGCCTAAGATACCCCCTATTGTACATATACGCATATAGCCTTTACTATTTTAAAAATTTGGATCAAGATATTTTCAACACAGTCTACATGTTCTTATCCTGGATTCATCAGTATTGTACATATACAGTGTATATCCTTCAATGTATGGAAAGTTGGATGGTGATATAAGCAAACAGACTGATTGATAGCTGGATGCACCGTCGGATGACCAAGTTGCTGACCAAGTAAAAGTTGAATAGCTAAACCAAACTTCCATATCGTGTGAGTTCCGGCTTAAAAGATGAACAGTCCCTATCTTATGTATTGGTTGATAATAGCAACTACCCCATGTATAAAATGTGTTGTATTTATCCTGTATATATTACATGTAACATGTAGTTACTTTCGGTGTATTTTAAATTCATAAAATAATTATGTACATTAGCCTAACTAGAATATTTACTATTGAGAGGACAAACAGTTATTTAATTTTAGATACTTTTAGAATTTTAGAAATTTTAACAGATTTTGCCTGTTATTGTTAGAGAAGTGAAATTAGGCAAGATATAATATATAGACTACTGTATAGTTTGAGTGACTACAATAGGATATTCTTCATACTATTCATTGTGCATTGTTATTTCATGGGCCTACCTCATCATTATTTAACACATGGTATTTTTTGAACACTTCATCTAAAAGTGTCCCAATATGAGTATTATATCCCAAACTTTTGCCTCAAGGCCTACTTTTTGGATCCTCACATAATATGGCAGTTTAAGTCATTGAGTAATGAATTCATATAATGTTGGAACAACCAAATTAATCATGATATATAAATTGTCTATGATGTACTTTAAGTATAAACATTTTACTACATTGTGAAATATATTATTGAATTGTGTGCTTCGCTTATGTGAATCTAGTCTGACCTCATGTCTTAAATGTTCTATAACAAGAAGATCTTGCAATCTAGAGCAAAGTCCCAAGGACGAAGCAAATAAGTTGATTAGATCAAGCAAAATAATGGTGTAGTTACCTCAATTGAAGGTACTTCGCTGTAAAATACACTGTACAGTTTCCCAAATACAGCAGAGGTAGGAATATTTGGGGATTGAGGTCAGTCTGTCAAGTTCATAGCGAAATATGTACACATTAAATGATGTTTGTGTGATGGATGCACTGAAATGTTAATGCGCATTACAATATTTTGTCAAAGGTCCAATTTTTTTTTTTTGTAAGATTTTGAGGTGCTATGTTCTTAGAGACACTATTATGGCCATACATCAAATAATATATGTTTGTTTTTTGAGTGAAACTCATAAATAATTTAAGGCGCAAACACAGTAAACACTTTAAAGTAAACATCATAAATATGTTTACTTATTTTAAGATTCCATTGTTTAATGTTCTTTTAAATGAATGATATAGGAACATCTCAGCATGAGAATTCAGTGTTAATGCATTTTGACCTAGTCTTGCCTTGAAGTGTTCACTTTAGACAAGTTTTACTGTATTGTTATGCAGTTATGAGGCAATGAAGAAATTAAGGGCTTTGTATCAATGGATTATGATAAAGTGAACATGAGGAAATATGGTTTTACAGTGGCTTGTTACAGAAATACTTAATTGAAAAGCACTTACGGTAACATCTGCAATTAGATTAAATTTGTATACTTAAGAAGGTCAATATAATTACTTTAAATTTGAGAAAAATGTGCATGTTAAGTCAGTGGTAATGCCTAAGCCTCTCTTTTAACAAATGATGTTTGAGCGTCTCCTTTTAGCTAAAAGTGACCCAAATGAAGACTTTATATAAATGTAAATTTCTGAGAAAAGGAAAGAAATCTTTTAGAGAGTTAATGAACATTATTCATCTATATAGTCATCTACTTTAATCAGGCCAATACTTTTAAAGTTCTAACAAATGAGAAGTGAAGCAATTCATGTTAATCCAATGGGGAATTGTTATATCATGAGAAAGTAACTCTTATACATATTTATAAGGTGAGACTTCTGTGTTATTCTCACAGACTCAGATGAACATAATGCATGATATGTTCAAATAGAGAATGATGTGTGGGTGTAGTACAGTATGGTACATCATAGGCCCCTCAAGTATTATTTAGAATGTAATATTATAAACTTCTTGTAAATACACATTATATAGTCTAGCGGTAGACACAGTAGGGGTCGTTTTGTAGTAGAAAGTTTTTTTCTTTGCATTTTTGGATACCTTATTGTGTCTACATAAAATATTAGGAAGATGCAAAATTGTGCAGGTTGAGCATTTTTTATAAAATGACATTGAAATTATGTAATCATTTCAGAGGTGGGCGTGGCATTTTACTTAACATATTGTCATATAAAGGTTGTATTTTCACCTCAATAGACTGATATCTTAAAGTGTAAGCATGCTAGTAATAACTACAGATAGTTAGAAATGATTTATGAGCACAATGTAAAGCAATTAAATGATATATTACGTAACAATTTCAGGTGGATATGGCAATTTTGCTTCTCTTTACTCATTTTCACTTTTTCAGCTGAGCTTAATATTTTTTGCAACTATTCCTATTAAGAATAGAATATCCAAGTGTGCATGTTTATGCAGAAATATTAGCTTAAAGGTGCAATACTTAGTGCAGAGGGGTCATTCAACAATCATGGACCAGTGTCAGAATATATTTAAGTTTGGATATTTCATCAAGACTAACATATATTTTTATTATCTACAAAGAAACCCCCTAGACAAACATTATTTTAGCTGGTATTCCTCTTGAAACATAGTGGATCTTAAAAATATAAAAGTGGAAGTCCCCTTTTTGAAGCTTTGAACTGAATTTACACTTTTAATGCTGAAATTGATAATTTATCCATACATTTTAAGAAAATAGGTATGTCAAAGAAGATGTTAAACCACATGTTGCCTTGATAGCTCAAAAAATGAAAAAAACTTTCCTATTTTCTCTACAGTCCTTATTGCCCCTTTAATGCACATTTCTGCAATTCTGCAATCTTTTTAAGTAGGCATTGAAATTACGTAATTATTTAGGAAGGGGGTGTGGCACTATTTACCTAACACTATCATATGAAGGTTGTTCCTGTACATGCAATAACCATTTTTCAAAGGTAATGCCTGCTTGTTGTAACTATAGATACCTAAAATTAAATATGCGCAAAGTTAATTAATTGCATAATAAATTATGTAACAATTACAGGTGGGTGTGACAATTTCTATTTCCTCATCTTCACTTTTTCAGCAGAGCTTCCTAAAATTTGTACCGTGTAGTTATGTAACTATGATATGATATTTGTGTAATTCTACTATTATAATTATTATGTGAGTATATTTCATAACGAGCATTGGAATTATGTAATCACTCAAAAATGGGCATTGTAGTGTTGTTAATATACCAGCAGGTATGGGTTGGTTCGCACCTGGTATGGAATTTTTTTCTTTGTAAATGGTTACTGTATCATATTCTAGATAAATTACGATTCAAATAGACATGGCAAATTATGAAATACAGTACACTAGTAGACTCAATATTCAGATTATATATTTCATAATGCGTATTGCTTGATATTTCGAGATATGATACAAATCTGATGTTTTTAAATTTACTGTGCCTTCAAATATATATTAATCTACCTAATGTCCAAGAAATGAGTTTTAACATAACATTACAAGATTCAAAAGGGGCAATCTTTCAAAGAAGGTGTGCTGAATTGTTGACTCGGTTTATAGTAAAATTTGGACAATATCATCTCTTTCATAATCATATGCCAACTCATCAAGATCTCTTTCTCTGAACTCATATTAGGATCCGATATAGTTTAATGAATACTAGGTTTGCCCGATAGCAGTATGCAAGTATGCGTTTTACAGTTTTCTGATATCCTGTTCTCCTAATTGTATGGTTTGAGTTTGCAGAGAAAGAGGGGTTGTTGGGATCAGGTTGTGGATTCTGTTTGCAGACATCTCTGTTGTCTGATGACTGTGTGCATCCCTTTGGCAGTCTTCATAGCAACTCTCAAATAAAAGGTTGACATCAAGATCACAAGATCTTTGTTCAGCTGACTACACACGTTCAGACTATACTGTATGTACAGATTTATGGTTCCTGGTTTCAAAGTTATTGTAACGCTTTGTCCAAATCCACACTTGATAAACATTGTTTTACGAACAAATCGGTCCACATTCAATACCAGAGCCTAATCTGACATGCTACACTATCTAATATGCATTTTGGAGGCATTCCATGTCATTCAGATAAATAAGGGTTATGTACTGGGAGGTTTTGGATATGGGGTTTATCCAGAGGGATATATGCATATCTACCTGAGGGACCGTAGGGACCGAAGGTAGATGTGCATATCTCACGAGGGATGAACCCTATATCCAAACCGACCGTACATAACTGCTTCATCCTATACCAAGTTGAGTTTTCAGGGGCATATGGTCATTTCAATACTACAAGGTGTAAAAATATACAAATAATTCATATGCAAAGTCATTTTATTGCATTAACGGAAGTGGGAAGATATGCACCGGAAGCGGGAAGATATGGACCGAAGCGGGAGATATGGCGGGAGATATGGAGGTTCTGGATATGGAAACCTCAAAAAATAAATAACCATATCTGGCATAATTGATGTGACATGGGGAAGCATATCTTTAACTGTCCCATATATAGCAGCTACTCTGCCTCTCGCTCAGCTCTTGTTAAAGTCATCATAGGTCAATTAGGTTCTGACTGCACCCAATGTTTAGGAGTGGGGCTTCTGGTTGTTTTTTATCTTCAAAATGGCCGCCCGTGTAGCTCAGTGGTAGCGCAGGTACCTCTTACGCAATAGGTCCCGGATTCGATCCCCGGTTCAGGCAAGACTAAATTAGATTTGCTTGTTTGCGTGAAGTACTTCAGGGTGTTTGACTGAGTGGTCCGCAACTCGTACAAAAGGCTGTGGTGTGTACTTATATGTCTATGTATAAGTGCACATAAAAGAACATAGGAGGTGTTTCTGGGTCTATCTTCCATGTTAATTACGTAAATTACGACCGTATATATACGGGACATACCAAAGAGGTATTGGTCACCTTCATTGGTGGTAAACAAAATTCAATACAATCAACTGGATGAAGTAGCATTGCTCTGAAACTGCTATATGTTGTCGCTGCTTGTCGTTGGTAGATATGATATACTCTTGGCCAAAATCATAGCTTAAATCTCTGAGCTTCCATCAATAATACCATTTTTGTTGTTAGTTTCATTGACTTCATAATGGGTTTGATATACAGCGATGTAGTAAGCCCCTTATCTCTTGCTAACTTTGTACTGTGGCCACCATACTATGGAATGAATCTCCCTGTCAGATGATATCAAAGCCTTGATTCTGAGCATGTGTCAGTGGTTTGGTCAGGGAACATGTTTGTAGCATGGCACTGATTTATACAGCACCTGGGGCTATTATCATCTTAATCTGCATTTAGGTAATCAAACAGGTGATATAGCATTATAATCCACAATTTTATATAAAATGATGTAATTTATGATGTAACTAATTATAATTTTGCACATAAAATGATTTATAAATATCTGTAGTTGTACCTTAAGCATGCTTATATTTTAAAATATCAGTCGATTCATGTGCAAAGAAAACATTTATATGGTGTTTTTAAGTGGAGAGAGTGCCACACCCCCATCTATAATGATTACATAATTCCAATGCCAATTTATGAAGAATACTCAACCTGCAGTATTTTGAAACCTTGGTAATACCTTTTCAATTGATGAAGATATATATTTGGGACATACTTTAACAGTCACAAAAATATGAAGAAACTCTGCTAAAAAAGTGAAAACAGTGACAAAATTGAACCTCCCACTTTAGATTGTAAAGTCATGATGTAATTAATTAACATTTTACACATGAACCATTTATACCTGTAGCTGAATTTATAACTAACATCCTAATTTCAATACACCAGTTGGTTTGTGTGCAGAAACAACCTTTATATTGTGGTTTGTAAAGTAAAGCACCATGCCCCTGGTATGTTGGCAAAATTGACACACCCATCTTAGATTGTTACGTCATTAATTATGTAATTAATTAACATATTGCACATCAATCATTTATAGCTATCTGAAGTTATTACTAGCATGTTTACACTTAAATAAAACACTTGGTTCTTGAGCAGAAACAACCTTCATATGATGGTTTTTGAAGTAAAGTGCCACGCCGCCTCCTAAAATCATTACATAATTTTAATGCCTAATTATGAAAAATAAAAACCTGCAGTATTTTGCAACTTGTTAATCTTTTTTCAGTTGTTAAACATAGAATACCTGGGTCATATCTTGAGAATTGTTACAAAAATATTAGGAAGCTCAGCTAAAAAAAGGTGAAAATGAGTAAAGAGAAGCAAAATTGCCATGTCCACCTGAAATTGTTACATAATATATCATTTAATTGCTTTACATTGTGCTCATAAATCATTTCTAGCTATCTGTAGTTATTACTAGCATGCTTACACTTTAAGATATCAGTCTATTGAGGTGAAGATGCAACCTTTATATGATAATATGTTAAGTAAAGTGCCACGCCCACCTCTGAAATGATTACATAATTTCAATGGCATTTTATAAAAAATGCTCAACCTGCACAATTTTGCATCTTCCTAATATATTATGCAGACACAATAAGGCATCCAAAAATGCAAAGAAAAAAACTTTCTACCACAAAACGACCTTTGGTGTCTTTTTCCTATTTGGCAACTGGACTAATATTACAGTTTTTGGATCGTAACTCTTTGAGTGCAAGCATTGTGCATAAATTGATAGCTAATATTCTATACAATCAAACTAATACAGTATTTTGTTGGCTTATATACAATTCTATATATATTAATAAATGTATGTACAATGATAATGTATTTTAGTCAGATGTAAAAGCACATATCCTATTACTGGTATATATACTAGATTAACATAGGTATGGAATGATATCTCCAAATGGTCCTATTGGGAGTATAAATGAAGTTAAATGATTAACAATTGATTATATACATGAATTCCATAGCATTGGTCAATACACTAATGTGTACATAAATTTTTATGCACTAGGTGCACTCTTGTATTTTACATACAGCAAATGAATGGTATTCAATAGTCGACACTTTAAAAAGTTAATTTTGCTATAGGGAGGGGGTAAATGAAAATTTCATTTGTGAATTCGAAGAATGTTGATTTTCTGAAAAATTCAAGTGAAAGGTGAATAAGCAAGCAAGTAGGTTATACGTGTTATATTTGGGAAGGGAGGGGATTGAACCATATTGGAAATACTGTTATCCATTTGCATATTGCTATATCTCCATAATGAATTTGTAAATATATAATAGATTTGTTCCCTCTGTATGTATTTACACTAGGCAGTACATATATCATGAAAGTTGTATGTGTTTTATTAGCTATTGCAATCTTCTATATGTATATACTATTTAATTATAATTCTTATGTGTGGTGATGCTTTTCTAGTTTTTCATAAAATCATTGAACTTTAAAAGTGAAGTAGTGGTATATATTCTATAATGTAATAACATTATCTGTATATAATGATATATAAAAGGAGTCAAATGTTTCATTATTTTTCATAGAAGAAGTAACTATTGTAAAGCAGTCCCTGCATTAGGCAGTATACATTTAAGGTAATGTTTAACTTATATATTCTTATGTTGCACACTACTTGATCATTGCTAAAATTTTGATCAAATTTTAATGAAAAAGATTTAGGCCTGTGATACTAAAATGATTTTAAAAGAAAAAAATGTCATTTTTGACCCACTTTCAATTCAATTCAAACAGCTTATTTTAGCATCACAGGTATAGGAGGAAAATGGCAATTCTCCTAAGTATCATAGGTAGGAAAACATATGGATGTAGAAGATAATGATGTCTTATGAGTTCAAACAATAGTAAGCAAAATCGGTTCTCTGTTGGCTATTAAGCAATACAAACAAAAATACTATCCCTTTAAACTGTTAAATACTCGAATGGACAATTTGATTCACACCTCTTAGTGAAGTAGAATTATGAACTTCGTTTCAGCTTTGTAGTGAAAGGAAAATAATATGATGTCATAAAATTAGAAAAAATCATGACTATCTACAAAGATCAAATGTGAAATCTCCATTTTTGCTTTGTAATGTTGTAAATGAAACACTCTGTGTTGTTTTAGTGAAATATTTGTTTATGTACATGTACTTCACACCATTGAAATAAAAGTCATTTTAACAATTTACAAAACACTTATATTTATAGTAATGTATTTTATGCTTATAAAACAGCAGTGTCACATCTTTTGCTATGGTGTCACTTTAAAAATGTCAATGTTAAAATAATCAGTCCCTTTGGCTCAGTCCACAAAATAGAACAGCCCAATTGCGTCCTTGGATTTCAATGTAGCCATGAGAGCAACCCCTTGTATCTGCTCCCCGTCCCCTGCCTGGTACAGCTGAAAGTGATCTATATTTGCACTCAGGAAGTTGTCCTTTAAAAGCTGCTCATCCTCCCAGAAATAATTCTCTTTCAACTGGCCTATCACCAGCTCAACCTGGAGGAAAATAGCATAATGGCATGTAAGACATGCAGGGTGGGCCAAAAAAACAATACCCAACTTTAAATCAGAATGAAAATAGCTATGTTCAATATGATACATTGATTTATATATCATTTTAAAGGTAATCCATTTTCGAACAATTTGGTATATAACAGTATGTCATGAAATCAATATTAAAGTTTTATTATGCTTATTTGGGAGGCCGGGTCGGTATTTAAGGTATCCATATTTTAGGGAGAAAATAGTAAATCTTTATAGAATATCATTTTGTTAGGTGAATACATGCTTGTATATTTGCATGTTGTGTGACTAAACTTATTGTTTATGAATTTTAGTGTTGTTTATTATCAATAAGTACTCAAAAGACAAAAGTACGTTAAAAGACATTAAACGTATATGTGACGAGGATTTTATTTCCCAACAAGACATTGCCTCGTACCATAGATCAAAGGAGACATTGGCATTTCTTTGCAAACAAGGTGTCAATACGATTGATCTTGATGTTTGGCCAATAGCCCCGATGCTAATGTGTTTGATTACCATACATGGAGCCATCTCGAGGAAATGGTACAATTAAAAGCATCCAATAAACAGCATTGATGAGCTGAAACAGAATCCTAAAGTCAAGTACTGAGATAAATTGTAACAGAAATCTTTCAATTAGGCTATTGATAGATTGCACTACCACTTGAAGCTTATTGTTGATGCAGAGGGGAGGGGGTTGGGGTATATTGAGCAATTGTTAAAATTGTTTAAATAAATAAAGTGTAAAATGTTATTAAACAACACTGAAATTCATAAACAATAAATTTAGTTACATAATGAATAATGATGCAAATATCAATATCCAAGCGTGTATTCACCTAACAAAAGAATGATCATGATATTCTATAAATAAAGAATTAACATAATTCCGCAGATTTACTATTTTCTCCCTTAAATCTGGAGACCTTAAATAGCAGCCCGGCCTCCCAAATAAGTATAATAAAACTTTACTATTGAATTCATGACATAGTGTTATATACCAAATTGTTTGAAATTGTATAACCTTTAAAATGATATGTAAATCAATGTACCATATTGACTGTAACTATTTTTATCCTGATTTGAAGTTGGGTATTGTTTTTTGGCCCACCCTGTATATAATGAAACTATACCTATAAACAATTAAAATGTAAATACATGTGACCTAGTTTGCATGAATGAATGAACCCAAAATAAGGGGGAGGTTAATTTACCTTGGTTACCGTCATATTTACCATTTAAGCAAGCAATACCTCATTGGTATATTCCGTATTCTACGCTTGAAGACAGAGCCTCAAAGAAACCCCTCCTTGGAGGAGCCAGTATTCTTTTATATGCACCAGTGCACCAGGTTCAAATGCTATACAACTTGTAGATCTTTTTTTCAGAAATGTTGCATGCATTTTTAACTAACAATTCAAAGCAATGAACCACACTTTTAAAGCTCATCAATGGAAAGCAATTTCTAGCACAATTTTCAACCAACAAGGATATAATGGGAATGACAGTTTAGTAAAGCAAACGCTAATATAAACTTATGGATATTCAGAAATGATGAAAAACAGGTAATTGATCATTAGCTACAAAATATGAAGTAATGAAATACAGTAGAGTATTTACTATGTTTAAACAAATGAAAATGGAAAGTTGCTATGGTTCATAATTTAAAAACAATTTATCAAAATTATTAATATAATTTAACCACACAAACATATATGACTATTATATACAATTTTCTGGAACTTGTTTCATTTCGTTTCCTTTATAGATTCCAATATCAAAACTTTAAATTAAAACATCTGGTTTATCTCAGATCGAAAAACACACCTCAGTGAGCAATGGTAAGTGACGTAATCTAAAATTACACTTTTGACTCAATATGTATACGTACAAATGATATTTTTGTGGTGTCAATTTTAATATCTCAGATGCAAAGGTTGCTGCCTTTAAAACAAATAATATGCGAGTACATAAAATATAAAATGTGATAACTTAACCAATAGGACGTGGATAGAAAACCAAATTTCGGATTAATGGAATTAAGTTTTTGACAATGGTTATTTGAATCACACCTTTTCTTTTAGTTGCAGTTTCTGGGCATTTACACATGCATTTTTCAAATGTAATTCAAACTGTTAACCGCACTTAGAGCAAACCGATGGAAAACAAATGCTGTCATATCAAATGCACGGTTAACCAGAATATGCCACTCAATTCAGTGTGCATTATATCATATGCAACTACAGGCACAAACCTGAAAATCCTCTGGTTGTGTGAGAGATTTGAATACTGCCTCTTGGTCCAATGGGGCTGCTTTGTCAAGAATGAGATTCCACGTTTGCTGACAGTTCTGAATGGATTTCCCATCGAGGAATAACCTGCACTGTTCTTTAGCTAGAGCATTTACTAAAATAATACATAAATGAATAATAATTATAATTTTAGGTCAATATTATTTGCGCAAGTTCATGGTCATAGTGGCCGTTGACTTAATTACGGAAATTTGAAAAGATGGATTAAAACACTACTTTCAATGTTAGTAAACAAATGAAATGTACTTTTACTAATCAAACAAATCACTAACATCACATTGAGGAAACAGAGCCCTTGGGTCGCGATTCTACTTTATAACTGTCAGGCACTGAACAACTATACAGAAAAAGACGGGAGTAATTGTTATACAATAAAGGACGAAGGGTATTCTCTGAAAAACTTTACACTGAACAACTTACCGTCTGTGTCAGGAGGTAGAGCATTAAGGTAGACAGTGCCGATACACGGAACACCACGCGTCCCTTCATTGCACTTTTCTTGAAGGCGATTGTATGAAGCCGGAGAAGCCGCCATACTTGATATCCTGTATATTCTCTGCAAAATCCTGTTCAACACTTTTTCTTCCAAAGGTGAGTTTTTAAATACTGTATCCAGATTTTATGCCGAAGAGGTGCTCGACAAGCCTATACGTACAACTGAAAGTAGATGAATGATGCATGGTCACAGTTTACTCTTAATAACTGTTTTGGAATGCTTGTTTTCCCTGCTACTCATATCAATGAATCTCAAAGGAAAAGTAATTGAGCTATGATCAACTAATAATGTAATAAACTTTACTGTGTTGAAACGATTTCGTTTTTCTTCATGAATTCACACATACTTTAACAAACTATCAGAATACCTGTATTGTATTACTCACTTCTGTACAGGACGGATATATCGGTGTGCCAAAGTCCGTTTTTGATTGATAACCTCAAATAAAACACTTGAACGACTAAGTCGCTGGGTTTCCTTTTTGATACGTTCGCGATTGATAAGCAAGGGAAATGACCGAAGCAGGAAAAATACTCATTTGGTCCCTCACCTATGGAGCTGTCACAGTTAGGCCCTGTTGGTTCACCGTTCGCCACCGTGTCAATACTTTAGGGCTGACGGTGTGGCACAGCATGGATACACGATTGGTAAAACAAATAGTTCTACAGCAAGATATCCCCCATTACACCAAAATTAGCAACACGGTGGAGAGCGGTGAGCCAACACGGCTAATGTGATAGCTGCTTTAAATACATATGAAATATGATTTCAATGTCAACACTAGAAGTGGTGACATAATGTCCGACTTATTGTGGTTGGTGTTCGGCGGTCGGCGTCTGTAACAAATGGCAGGTTGTGATATTTTATATGTTAACGCTAAGTGTTATTTCTGTCCTAGTTAGTCCTTTTTGTATGTTTGATGCATATAATTCAATTTCTCCTATACTTACAAAAACAAGTAGTTAATTATGAAAAAACACAATTGGCAATTTGTATGAAATACAAGGAAGAAACCGCTAAAGCCCCTTAAATAATTTAAAAGAAAATCATATTTTTGAAATATTTTATTTTTTTCATATATTTGAATTTCCCGCCAATAAATATAAGTATATAAATAGTTTACCACCTGCACTGTCCTGAAGATCATAAGTTCACGATCGACCGTAAATTGTCAATATTTACACTGTCAGTTAAATGAGAAACATCATATTTTTAATCCAGAAATATGACAAGGTCTTGTTTTACAGTGACAAAATATTATCATAAAACTGTGATTTTATATGTCCGTTTCGAGTTCGCGCAAACTATTTCAGGATGTTAAAAAGGCTTATATATTAGTTATGCGACGCATAGTGTCATCGTCCACTCATAATCATTGAGTAATTTATCAGTTTATGATTGTGTTTTGCACCTTGGGGTATCATGAGTGCGGTATGCCTACGGGTGGTGACCGTCGCGTGTGTTGTAATTCATCAGAAGGAACCGGGCATAAATACGCGCGGACATTAAAAAGTGACCAAAGTATTTTGAAATTCGTTAAGAAACAAACTTTAAGACATGGTAAGTTTTTAATTCAATAAGACCCACCGCTTGTGTTAATTGATGCAATTAAATCTTATTGAATTATAACAGAGTTGATAGACAACACAATCTCTAGACGGGAAATCTTTGTCGCAAAATTTTATTTCTTCAGAAGATTGCATGAATTTCAGTTCTGCTAATCATTTTACATATTTGTTTCAGTGCAAATACATCATATTTTACTCAGTCGTTCTCATCGTCTGGCAAACGGTGGAAGGATGTCCCGTGAGAGGATTCCCATCTCTAGTAGATGGATCCATAACTGAAGACAATGGCGGGCAAGCAAATGGGGAAATAAAACCAGGTAATTTCAAAGCGTAAAATGGAAGCAAAGGTTTAATGTAAAAAAGTAAACTGACCACAATGTATGATGTAAAGGGTGAATTGATAATACTGCATTAAAGACTGCAAATGCCCGTAATAGACCAAAATGCCAAAATTTTGCTATTATGTATTCTCTAATGTCTGAATGTATGTATGCATCTTTTATTCCCGATTTCAAATCGGATTTCATAATCAATAATTACGATTTATTCCTTAGACGCTATCATTAAGACAAAATTGACGCAATAAGAGGAGAGAGAGGGGAGGGTCGGTTTGATTATTTCAAACTTTACAGAGTTAGTTGTAGTTTTATATAGCATCTTTTTGTTTCAAAACCTCTCGGCATCTGGTTTCTTTTTTATCTCCATATATTCATAAACGGAACTCATTCCAACTTATGTTTTGAACAATATATCTGATACAAAGATGTCACCGTTAGACTAGATGCAAAACTTCCACCTCTGAGAAGTCATGAGCATAATAGGCCTAGCCTACAGCCCGGAGCAATCGTTGCTCATAGTGTACATTTTTCTATTCTAGTCTGATGATACCGACGTGACCATGAGTCAAGAGAGGTAGCAGCTTGTTACTATATAGTTATAACTATAATTTTATAAAAATACAACGCAATTGTAAAATCACACTACTTTATTCTTTAGAAGAGGAGCAAGTGACAATGGGATCTAAATACAGGAAGGTTTGTTACTATACCAATTGGTCGCAGTACCGCCCCGACCAAGGGAAGTTTACGCCCGAGAATATAGATCCTCAACTTTGTACACACATTATCTACGCATTTGCAAAGATAGAGAATGGACAACTTGCTCCATTTGAATGGAATGATGAGTCGACGGCCTACTCTAAAGGTAAGAACACGATCACTACTTGTTTTTTTAATTTAAATCATTAGGACGGCTGATCAGACAAATTAATCTTTTTTATTGTTCATTGCCCTAACTCAGATATCACAGGAGGTTCTTTTGTTAAAACCCTCATTCCATTTTTACTGTATTTTATTGGACAGGTAACTATGAGAAGGTGAATGACTTAAAGAAGAAGAATACACAATTGCGAACGCTATTGGCTGTGGGAGGCTGGAACATGGGGGTACAACCTTTTACACAGATGGTCGCTTCCCGGCAGTCCCGACAGCACTTTGTCACAACCAGCATAGCCTTTCTGTCGAAGCACAATTTTGATGGGCTGGATTTGGACTGGGAGTATCCAGGTTCAAGAGGAAGTCCCCGTGAGGATAAACAACGATTCACTGCACTTTGCAAGGTATGTAGTTCACTTTTGATTTAGGTCACCTCATCCTCATATCTCTTCTCTTTAATCACTAACTTCGTCATAGCTTCAAACGAGAATCATAATGTATCCATGGGCATTCAGTAGATATTAAACGCCCATGCTGTATCAAATGAGAGAAAGAGTATGCGAAAACCGACGACTATGCTAACACACACAGTCTAACACTGACCAAATAAAGAGGTGTTTATATATTTTCTATTATTCATGTAGGAATTGCGAGAAGGATTTGAGGACTCGGCTCAGCAGACAGGAACACCCCGTCTGCTGCTAACAGTGGCCACTGCTGGGGGCAAAGATAAAATAGATCGAGGATATGAAATACGCCAACTTTCAAGGTGGGCCTTAATATTAAAGCATCAACCTAACCGACCCTAAGATCAAATTTAAAAGCAAGGACAGCATTTTTGAATATACACCAAGTTTCTATGTTGCCCTCAACCATTATTCTATAAAACCTTAATGCTCTTAAAATTTTGGATTCAGATATGTTGATTTCATCAACATCATGAGTTACGACCTGCATGGTAGCTGGGATCCAAAAACGGGCATCAACAGCCCCCTCTATCGGGACACATCTGAAGTTGGTAGTGATGCCACATTAAACACTGTAAGTGAGGTCTAGGAAAGTCGTCCTGCAAAATAAAAGTTTACCTACAAGTAGGCTAGTTTTTTTGTCTCTAATCCTAGTTTTTAACTGTAGATATTTACGGCAAACCATATAGTGAAGTAGTACAGACAACAACCGAACAAATAAAAAGAGCTTGGGCATCAGGTAAATAGTACATTTTGCTATGTTTTAGGATTGGATAATACAGTATTACATATCCCAAGGCATGTCACCTGCGAAAATAACTATGGGTGTACCAACCTATGGAAGAACGTTCACGTTATCGAACCCTTTGAATTCTGGGATAGGTGCCCCTGCTTCAGGACCAGGTCAAGCTGGGAGATTTACCAGAGAAAATGGTTTCTTGTCTTATTATGAGGTAAATGACAAGTGCACGTGGGGAAGAAATTGTCCTTGCCCTAGTTGAGTATAAAGTAGTCAGGAAAATAGTCATGTTTTTGTAAAATGCGATGATGAGTGGACAATTTTACTTTTACATATACATAAAAAGTTTTCCAAAAAGTTCGGTGGTAATACATACTATAAAGAGGGGTGGAAATGATTTACTCCGCATGGGTTGATTGCTGTATTAATGAAACTCCCTTGTTTAGATTTGTGAAAAAAGGAAGGACGCCAAATGGAAAGAGTCACTGGACAAGGAACAAAAGTCCTGCTATAGTTCTTTTGGTGATCAATGGGTCGGGTTTGATGACGAAACAAGTCTCCAGATGAAGGTAATGATACGTGATAGCAACCCTGACTTACAAGTCATACCGTGACTACTACCTCACTTGTCTAGTACATATGTCCATCGCACCTGTCGGTTGCGTTCGATATACGAATATTTTTCATTTTCTATAATATGTTTCTTTGTTCGTGATTTTGGTTAATTCATTGAATATCAGGATTTTAGACATTAGGCCTATTTTGATCACCTCATCTTTGGCCACAATGAATTAAATTGGGTCTCTTGGGTCTATCTCAAATATCTTCTATGTTACTTTTGCCATATGTTTTGTGTGTATGACACTGTATGTGTGTATGGGAGAGGGGATTGTAGATTTTGATAGACCCAACATCGTTGTATGTTACAGATGGACTACATCAAGCAGCACAACCTGGGCGGGGTCATGATATGGTCGCTGGATTGCGATGACTTTGCAGGACAATTCCAGACGCGTGGTTCCTACCCCTTATTGCGCCAAATAAACCGTGGTCTAGATGGCGGAACTGACGTGTCAAGTACACCAAGTTTGCCTTCAACATCACGTGGAAGTAGAGCAACGGTGCCAACCACTTCAGTCGGGACTCGAACAGCTGCAAGCAGTACATCCACCAGTCGAACCACAAGGCAACATTCAGCTGCACCAACAAGTTCTGAACGGTCATCTACTAGGGCAAAGGCCACAACTACCACTGGAGGTATGATAAATTAGAAAGTTAAAAAGGGCAAGATCAATAACAGAAAACGTTCATAAACTGTATAAAATCAACTGCTAAACTAGGTGTATACAGTATTAAACAGTATTTATCCTAGCATTTGAAGTGTGCCGAACTCTTTCATCTTCCAGGTTTGCCCGAAATGCCAGCTTGTGCCCGTGATGGTGATAAGTTCCCAGACCCAACCAGTCCTCAGCATTACTACGAGTGTATCCACACTGGAACCCCTCACCAGACTATGTTGAGAAGACAATGCCCCGATGGACTTGTATTTGATCCTGACACTAAAATCTGTAATTGGCCAAAATAAAGACTTAGGTCCAAACGCTGTCGCCGCCCATTATTACATAAAAGATATGCATTGAACTAAGGAAAGCTTGATGTGATATTGTATACATGAGGTTACATTAAAAAGAACACCTAAAATTGGAACGATTTCCGTCGGCTCCATGAAGCCATTGCCTTTCGAAGTCGTATTTTCGGTACTGTCGCCGATCAAAGGTGCATGTAAATATGGTGTTGAAATTTTATTTCATTGTTATGACTCATTGTCATTTCATGGATTGCTTTTACTTACCATACAAAGTCTTTCAGAAACGTGTACTCATTGTTGATAACGTTTGGAAAATCTTGAAAATATTTTCAAGTCCTACTTCATTTAATTAACGGACGCAAAATCCCTGAATTTCGACCAATTAATTAGTGGTAAACGTCCATTGTGTTTTTTTTGGGAATGGCTTGATTCCAGTGACAGCGTTAAAGAGTCGTTAAAGCCACTCGATTAAAATCCCGGATTAAACTCTATGTAATGAATGGATGTATGGACGTGATTATGATACATTTGAAACCATAGGAAACAATTTCTCCGAATACCTCAGGTGATTCGGATGATTATAATATTTTCAAGGGGCATTATCGACTTTAATTTTTCCAGAGATGCCAAAACAGCTATTGCCAAACACAATTTCACGACATTGTTAAATGCATTTGAATTGACTTAAACTATTTAAAGGCTTTTTGAGAGCTTTTTCGTTATTAGAACGTTGTCGTTGTGCTGACCAAAGGTGGTTTCTAGCATTTGAGCTGAAGAACTTATGCACGGATAATTCTTCTCATATATACAGTAGCTTTAATGTCATATATCACTGTATTTTGCAAATGTAATGTATTTTGAACATATGTGATGTATTTTGTACATTTGATATACAGTATTTCATAAATATAGGCACATTATATTGAAGTATAATAATGTTTTTTGAATAAGGTGAATTATTTCGATCCATCAATTCAAAAACAAACACCTATAAATCATATACTATACTGTATATACATAATAGTAAATCATACAAACCGTTTAAATCAAAACGATAGGGACGATAGGTCAACTACATTATTCTGGTGCAGGAATATCATACTTATTGGAAATGAAGCTTCCAACGTTTTACACTCTGTGACATTCTTTAAATGTCATGCCTGCCATATGAGCCAAAAACGGTTACAGAACACACCAAGAAAAAGAAAACATCTAAGCGCACACCAGCAATAAGGATAACAAACCCAACTATCCAAAACTATCTATCGTGAAAAGTAACAATGTGAAATACCCCCCCCCCTTCCCCATCATTCAAGTTACTTTTTACATTATCACAATCTGAGACCACAACACGAACGTTTCATTCATACTGAAATCATTACACAATACATGTTGAAGAATAAAAACACTGGCGGATCCAGAAGCTAACAAGGATGGGGGGAGGGTACATTTCAAATCAGAAAATACATTTTTGGGCCCCTTAAAAATGCTTACGAATCTAGGCCCCTACAATATGTAACTGCTCTCTACGGATTTTGGAGGCGCATGTGTGTCACTGGACGTATCAGGAGTGAAATCCATTTAGTATTACAGCAAATTAAAGAACTTCCAAGTAGCGGTAGCCCGGGTGGTAGCCATTGTTAAGTTTTTCATTGAATGAATAAGGCAAAAGGCAAAAGACGCTGCAACGTTCGTAATTTTGTATATTTACGCAACGTTCGTAATTTCAATGCAAAACTACATTATCGCCCAATAAAAAAAGGTAAGATTTTTGCGTCATATTAATGAACACTTCAGCTTTGTATACTGTGCATTTATTAAGTCAAATTAAATACTTATATCAATACAAATATATACAGATAAAAAATATACAGATTACGCCCCTTAATAATACAATAACAACCATATTTCCAGCTCGACAAAATTAGCAAATTTACTTCCGGGTTTTGATTTTTTAGATTCATCATTCAGATTGACACAGTTCTAGTCTAAGCTTAGTGAGTTGGATACAATTATCACATAGTCTACAAGTTTGCTGCTCGTTTTCGAATAATATGACAAATTTGAACATGTTCTCGAAGCAGATAAGCTACTATGTTTACTTGGGTTCTCCAAATAAATCGAATCGATCAATACGGTGATTCATAAAACTTGAGAATTTTTTGTTTCGTTTTGTTATATTATTGGTCAGTTGAATACGTCAGTAGCTCATGCTAGGTATTTTATCCATACTTACGTGTTTCATTTGGAAGTAAATCCTGGATTGATGTGCTGAACAGTAAGTAGATTTGCCTTTGAATCCTGTACACATATATGTATGTGACAACCCTCTACTCATGGGCCTTCAATTAGATGTACATATGGTGAAGGCCATTGACCCAGATGTATGGATAATTTTATACATGTACTTCTAACTTATCAAACTTAGATTGTATTTATTATACCTGTAAAAAATGATGTCCATATTGAAGTAAAATTTTTGCATAATAATACATGTACATAATGCGTTACATTTAATATAACTGTATTTTCTTTTTATATTTTTCCACGTTTCTCTGCCCTCAAATTTTTAATTGGCTTCCATTTTTGTATATATATTTCGTATATTTTCGTATAAACTATTTAGTGGGGGCCTTTAGTTGTTTTCCGAATAAATAGACGGCCAAACAGACAAACGAATGGGCAGCTTTTCTATCTCTTGGGATCAACTGGAAACCCAAGACAGGTTGTTCTATTCTCAAAATAGATAAATTTTAATATATGTTTGCTAATTTGTCTACCAATTACTTTGCGCTTGCATTGCCTCTTAAAGGTTACAAGCATATAGTTACACACAGGAATTATGGCATTCGGTATAACCATGGGTGTATAACCTTTCGGTCAAATGCGGGTCAGTATAATGGGTTTCAGTATACATGTAATGCATGTCGGTATAATGGGTTTCGGTACAATGTGCAGACCCCCAACGAAAACACAGAATGAAATCCTATGCTAAGGGCTGATGTGGGGATTGAATCCACGATCCCTCGCTCCAATAGACCCCAATAGCCTACAGGTACATGCAGATGTTTACCCATTCCAGAATTCTCTGACTGTAAATGGGGTATTTCAGGTGTACATGTATGTATCATAGTTTTCTGACTTGATATTCAAATAATTTTCTTTAATTTGAAGAGTGAAGACAACACTGAGGCTTTAACAAAGGGTGAATGATGGAAGGCAAAGAACCTGATGATGACGGTTGGCGTCAGGGTGGCATCATTGGAAATGGTGGCTTTGGAATGGTAGAACTCTGGATCAATGAGGTAAACTATATGTTTGAATGACTTAAAATATATTGGTATGGTCAAAATATACGAAATGTTCGCGAGTTTTGGAAGAGCAACGTTAAATAGTATTGCCTAATACATGGGAGGGGGTAAATGGAGAAGGGATGGAGGTTGTTAAACTAAATTTAACACTGCTCTCTATAAATGCTGGTATTTATACACCACTGTTCATTGTTTCAGTGGTACTTTACTTTCTTTGGTTATTTACAATTGTTTATTTCTTTTTTATTTTCTTTGTCAGTCCAGTTTCCCTTGTCCAACCTAAAATAACTCTTGGCCTTCATAGTTTTTATGGCATTTTAAACTTTAGTTTAATAATCAGAAAAAATATGTATAAAAAAATATTTGTAATGTTCTTATGTATGATTTTATCCATATAATCTGAAAATTATTGTCATGAGGTATTTTTTACTACATTTTGTGAACCATGAGTATTTTTGATATAATTTTCCCTTAAAAATATTTACAGGAGCTTAATAGGAAAATAGCACTCAAAAAGTGTCGCCTGCTGACAGAAATGAATGAGAAACATAAATCGCGTTGGGCCTTAGAGGTTCAGATAATGCGACGTCTACATCATACCAATGTTGTTAAAGCAGGAGAAGTGCCAAAGAAAATGGATGTGTCACCAGGCGAAATGCCAGTGCTGGCCATGGAGTATTGCTCAGGAGGTGACCTTAGAAAAGTAAGCATAGAAAAGCCTTAAAGATGTAAAGTGGAACACCAGTAACTATAAAAGACAGATTTTTGATGTTGCGAATGGGAACAGAGAATATTGACCAAGAAATAGTAAACCCGCTATCAAATACATTAAAATTGAAAAATATTAGATCTTTTCATTGATTTAGAAATAAATTGTATTTTTGAGAAACTGTGGATTTACTTCAGTTTGAATTGATTAAATTGATATGGAAATGATTTCCTCTTGCAGGTATTAAATAAACCAAGGAACTGCTGTGGACTGAGGGAGTGTGACGTGCGAAGCATTGCACATGATATAGCATCAGGCCTAGACTATCTCCATAGCAACCGCATTATACATAGAGATCTGAAACCAGAGAATGTTGTACTGCAGGAGGTTGATGATAAGGTATACAGGGTGTTTCATATGTATGCACACCCCCATAAACTAATACATGTAGCATTGATACCCTATCATGTTAAATATCATTTTGTTCTTTATGGAAAGTTACATGTACATTACATAAGAATCCAGGGGTGTCCTTGAAAAAAGATACAATACATCAAAGTTTGCTGGTACGGGTCATTTAGGGGGCAATTTCTTGTCATTTTTTGACTCAGTCTGGTGATCTGTGCACTTTGCCTTCCTATAAGCCACTGCATGAATCCTATCTCTATATTTTTGTGCAAAACTGTCACACATGTGTGGACTGGAGTCCAAGTCGAGATTCATTATTCCAACATCATCTATATGTACATATATCCTATGATATTATTACCACATTGGGATGCCTGTTCCCAGGGTATTAGCACTAGTTTAGGAGGCTTATACTTTACTATATTGACTTGGGAAAAGATTTTACTATGTTTTCCTTATTGTGTTATTGTGTAATTGTTCTTCAATTACAGATAGTGTACAAGCTGATAGACCTTGGCTATGCCAAAGATTTGGATGCTGGGAGTGTGTGTACATCATTTGTAGGAACTTTGCAATATTTGGTAAGTCTCTCTTATGTAAGTATATACCCTTGCTCCTTCTGACTTGCCTCTGATTACAACAAATGATCTTTGGTACTGAGCTTTTTTGGAGGGTTTTGGACGTAAAATGAATGTAAATGCTGATTGAATATATGACAAATCAAAGGATTATCTCAAATTTAATGAGTGAAGATGAAATTCAGCTCCAATTAATGGTATTTTAAGTTTTAATTGCAAAGTTTTTATGAGAAATAGATAATGAATTTCACTGTAACATGCTGATCAATAATTACTCACTTACGAGCTGTTTAAATTAAATGGGGTGCTTAAGAGAAGTGCAGTAATAAACAGGAACATGGCACCCACCTCAAAATCCATTTGCACCCACTTGAAAATTAGAAAAATCATGAAAAATGGGCATATCTTGACCATTTGGTCTAAAGTTTTGCACCCATTCCTAGGGCGAACACTGAAGTGTATACACTTGACTACAGGTTGTGTATACGCTACATGTATGCTCAACTTTTTTTTACAGTTTTGGATTGATATAATGACCTATTAAAGACTGCTTTATATCGTTTCAGGCTCCTGAATTATATGATGGATCTGCATATACTTGTCGTACAGTTGATTTCTGGTCATTTGGTACGATGTTGTTTGAGTGTGTATGTGGATTCAGACCATTCCTTCCTAACCTCACCCCTGTGCAATGGTAGGCACCTTTCATTTATTACATAACAAGGGACTCCCCGGCTCATGTTTTGAAATACAAAACAAAGATGTATGAAGCAATGGACCATGTCAATAATCATAATATGTTGTCATGGTGAAAGAACACATGAGAAACTTAGTCTATGATAACTCAAAGCTAGGCCTCATATCTAGTATATGATTAATATGTATTCATAATTGTTGTGAAATAACCAAATATGAAATATTAGCTCTTGATATAGCCTTGCCCAAGTCGGTATTTCTTTTACTTAACTGATAATTATTACAAAGAGACCGACTTGGGCAGGGCTATATCAAGTACTAATATTTCATATTTGGTTGATATATACTTGATATTACTATTGTAGAAAGTATTTCTACCTAAATATACACATATTGGAGGTGAAACTTTCACTCTTTGTTTTTAGATAAAATAACTAATTGTTTATTCAGTAATCATGTTTGATGATAACCTCTAAAATATTTATGATTTTCTTACTTCAGGCAGCAGAAGGTTAGTCTAAAGCAGCCTGATGATATATGTGTCATGTTTGGTCCCAACTCTGAGGTCATCTACAGCAAGGACTTGCCTAAACCCAACCAACTGTGCAGGTAAATAAACATTTATTTGTACCCTGTCCCTGCATCATCAATAGTAGTAATGTCACAACCACGAGTGGTGCAATATTGTTATAGTCTCCAACAGTGTTTGGAGTCTGGACATTTTTGGCGGTTGTTGTTTGGCAGTTAGTGTTTGACTTTTGGAAGTTGCTGTCTGTAACAAATAGCTGGTGGTTATATTATTTATGTTAATGACTTGTTTTAGTTTTGCATGCTGGCAGGATCTTATTTATCTGAAATGGATCTTTCATTAACTTGAAGTTAAATGTGAAGTAAATGCCAGCTACTTCTATGTAGAATATGTGTTGTCAAGATTTACTTACCATGAAATTCTTATTGAATCTAGTCTAGATCAAATAACTATTTCTTAAAGAGTGTATATGAGTCAAGATAAAGCATTTACAAAGCAGCATTTAATGCCTTAAACATGACAATATCAGTCTAGAAAATAACAATTTTAACCAACTCTATCAACATGAATTAAGTATTTGGATAAGTACACATGTATTTGCTGATGTTTTACAGTAAGAAGCATAGCAATTTTCTCATGCTTTATTGTAAGGTTCGTAATTTACTCACAATTTATTTGCAGATGATCTAATATGTTTATTTATTTGAATGTGTATTCTTAATTTTCTTATTTTTCAGAATAACTGAGATGCAGCTTCAAGATTGGTTCAAGCTGATGCTGATGTGGGACCCTAAACATAGAGGTGGCCCTAAAGATGAAAAGAAAAAGAAACAAAAATGCTTTATTTTAATGAATGAAATCCTGCAGTATAAGGTAATGAATATGACAAACCATGTGGTTCAGGTTCATCTATCACTTTAAACAACAGTGGCTCAGATTCATCTATCACTTTGATACCCTGCGTGCAGAGTCTAGTTAAACTACACTCTGCCTAGTAGATACCATATTACAGTTTAGTAGCCCCGCCCCCACGACGGGTACCGGTGACAGTTTGGGTAATAAATCACTTTTGACCTACGCGCTGACCTTTCTTCCACCAATCAGCGAGCTTGAAGAAACATACGCCAAATGCGTTCTAATTAAATATGCGCATGTCATTGGTCAATTCCCGGCTCAACGATGACGTCAGAAGGAATGACCATATATAGAACGTCGGTCAAATTTGGCCGACGAACACTGATTGGCGCGGTGAGTTCACAGGTTTATTTTAGGTTGAAAGAGTGAAGACAAAGCTCTCTTTTAAGAAGTGAAGTCAAACGAATGCAAAGGGTATCACTTTGATAAACTAATGAATCGATATGAATCCAATTTAAGTACTGAATTTATGCAATTTATGGGGCTGAATTGAAGTACAAAATGTGCCTCATATTTTGCTTGTGTTCCTCTCATAATTCACCCTGGGGGTGTTGAATAAAGTTTATGTGGGTGTTTTGGATAGGGTGATTTAATAATTTAACAATGTTTACAGGGTGGCTCAGAAAAAATTAGTACACTATTATAGCAGGTAACACTAAAAGTATATATATTTTCATTATATATGTATGATATAGCACTAGACATATTCTTCAATTTCAATGTGTTACCTTACAGATAATCAAGTGTCTTGATGTCGCACAAAACATCCTCTACAACATTGCCATTCAGAGTAGAACTACCCTACAGGAGGTACAAGAGAGTTTAGCGGAAAACACTAAGATACCAGTATCCCAGCAGATGTTATTATTGGCCAGTGGTCTTTCTCCCGATCCTAGCCAGCCAGCTACACAATGTCTCAGTGATCGGGTAAGATTAGAACACTCCGGAAAGCGAAGGGTCATGGGTTTGATCGATCCCCACGGGGGTGGACTGACTTTTCACATCAGCCCTCAGCACAGGACTTCATTCTGTGTTTTCATTGAGTTAGCAAGAATATGTTATTTATACCTCATTTACACTGTAGCAAAGCATACATTTATTTTCCTTACTGCAGTATATTAAACTGAACTCAAACAACTAGGATCAGGGATTAGTATTTTACATGGCTGAAATACAAATCATACTTTTAACAAACACCCATGATAATTTCCATTGATTTTATTTCGCTTCATCTACATTCTGTTAACATGAGATAATCCATTTGATCTCATTCAAAATATGTTGATAAAAATTCAGCTACCAAATCAGAATATGTCAATCAAAATCCAGCTGCCCAATCAGAGTATGTTAATCAAAATCCATCTAGCCAATCAGAATATGTCAATCAAATTCCAGTTACCCAATTAGAATATGTCAATCAAAACCCAGCTACCCAATCAGAATACATGTATATCAATCAAAATACATCTACCCAATTAGAATATGTCAATCAAAATACATCTACCCAATTAGAATATGTCAATCAAAATCCAGCTACCCAATCAGAATATGTCAATCAAATTCCAGCTACCCAATTAGAATATGTTAATCAAAATACAGCTACCCAGCAATCAGAATATGTCAATCAAATTCCAGCTACCCAAATAGAATTTGTCGATCAAAATCCAGCTACCCAATCAGAATATGTCAATCAAATTCCAGCTACCCAATTAGAATATGTCAATCAAAATACAGCTACCCAGCAATCAGAATATGTCAATCAAATTCCAGCTACCCAATTAGAATATGTCAATCAAAATACAGCTACCCAGTAATCAGAATATGTCAATAAAATACACCTTTATAAGAAGCTATTCAAAGCATGTATTCAAAGCATAGTAGTAACTATGACTCACTGTACATCAGTGTCTATCTTAATTATACACATATCCATTCCCTCCCAGTAAATAACCTCAGTATATATTCATTCTAGGATGAAGACTGGATTGTATTTCTCTTCAAACGAGATGAGACATACTATCATAATCCGAAGAAGCAGTCTTATCTACCGGAGAATGTTGCATTTATGGCTAAAAATCCTAGTATGTTACTGCCCTACCCAACACAGAAAAAATCCTGGGGATGTGCTTATGACTGGTGCAGAGATCAGGCTAAGGCACACAATAGGCTCCTTCAAGCACAGAGAGCTACAATGTAAGATGGACTGTACTGTATTAATTTGTGAAAAATCGACATTAACATGTTATATTAGTGATAGGTCACAGGGTTGTACAAGAACTGCTAGTAGCAGTGAAAAGTAACATACTGGTTTGATTGGGGAAATGCTTGATTTAGTTGTCCAGGCTATTTTAGGTGCAGATAGCTTATTATATGCACAACTAATAGTAAAATGTATGGTGTTTGATTTTATTGGGGAAAATTTTTTGTGTAACATTTTGTGATCAGAACTACATGTACAGAAACAACAAAATTAGAGCATTTATGGGCCTCAGAAATGGGCCTCATACATTTACATTCATCACATCACATTACACCACATTCCATTCATTACATCACATAACATTACATAAAATTACATTTTTATGTCACCACCAAAAGTGGTGACATATTGTTATGGTCTCCGTTTTTTGCGACGGCGGTTGGTGGTTGGTGGTTGGAGGTTGGAGGTTGGCGTCCGGCGTCCGGCGTCTGTAACAATTTCTTACAACTTCCTATAACTTAACAAATACTGTTTAGACTGACTTCAATTTTTTTCTAAATCATCTACATGTTCTCAGAAGTTCAAATCTGACTTTACATTAGACATTTGACCTTCAATGACCTTCTCAAGGTCAAAAAGGTCTTTTTTCAACTTGCTTCACATTGACTAAAATTTTTTTCAAAATCATCTACATGTTCTCAGAAATTCAAATCTGACTTTAGATTTGACATTTGACCTTCAATGACCTTCTCAATGTCAAAAAAGGTCAAAAAGGTATTTTTTCATCTTGCTTCAAATTGACTAAATTTTTTTTTCAAAATCATCTACATGTTCTCAGAAATTCAAATATGACTTTAGATTTGACTTTAGATTTGACTTTAGATTTGACATTTGACCTTCAATGACCTTCTCAAGGTCAAAAAAGGTCAAAAAGGTCTTTTTTCAACTTGCTTCAAATTGACTAATTTTTTTTTTCAAAATCATCTACATGTTCTCAGAAATTCAAATCTGACTTTAGATTTAACATTTGACCTTTAATGACCTTCTCAAGGTCAAAAAAGGTCAAAAAGGTCTGTTTTCAACTTGCTTCAAATTGATCAAATTTTTTTTTCAAAATCATCTACATGTACATCTTTTCAGAAGTTCAAATTTGACTTTACAAGTTCTCAGAAGTTCAAATCTGACTTTAGATTTGACATTTGACCTTCAATGACCTTCTCAAGGTCAAAAAGGTCTTTTTTCAACTTGCTTCAAATTGACTAAAAAAATTTTTCAAAATCATCTACGTGTTCTCAGAAGTTCAAATCTGACTTTAGATTTGACTTAAGATTTGACATTTGACCTTCAATGACCTAACTAGGTGGTGACATTTTGTCATGTTAATGCCTTGTATCACATTACATTACATTTCAGGCTTCACTTGTTGCGGCTGAACACCAGCGCCTTACAGCTAAAGAATGAGGTCATCCAAAACAACAATCGTCTTGCAGTAGAAACAGAGTTTGTTCAACAGAGTCAGGCTATCGATATGGAAGAATACGAGAAACAGAAAAATGGTGGTCTCTGTAAGTATTCATAGGTTTCAGGCCTGTAGCCGGGGGGGTGGGGGGTTCCGGCCTCGGGCAAAATCATGAAATTTTCCACCATTCTGAGCACTTTTCAAGTGATTTTGGCCGCTTTTGGGCCAAAGTCATCAAAAGGGAAGCCCCCCTAGGAATTTTTTAAAAGTGAACCCCCCTTGGCAAATCCTGGCTATGGACCTGGGTTTGGCTTTTCAGCTGGTATAAATGTATGTCCCATGTGAGAGTCATATGTGACTCACTAAATACAGGTTAACAATTGAAAACATGTTTTGAATAGAGTTTGAGTACAAACAATGACATACTGTTTTCATTAGCAAATTAAAAGTTTCATTTGATTTTTAGTTTTCACATTTTGGTTTTCTCATTTTAAACATAAGTACATGTATGTTATATTGTAAATAAGAAATATAATAAATCATTGTACAGATACAATATCATTGCAATGTAATCTATCAAATTGTTTAATATTTTACTTTGACAGTGCTATACATGTACATATTTTTCATAATTTATTTTTAGATTCTGAAAAGATGTTTAAAGCTTGGCGTAAGATGCGTGATGAAATAACCACATTTACAAAACTGGTAAGTTAACTTACCTACTATTTTAGTTTTACATTGTATATACATATGTACAGTACTTCTGAGGTTGAATTGGCATTTCCTTCATGAGAATAGATGCAGAGTACAGGGTAGGATCTCTGGACCAATAAAGTAAAGTTATTGAATCATTTATATTCTCATGTTGTGGGGGGGGTTGATGTTTCTCTTCTTTAGAGCCCTTATATCTATAGCGTAAGTGAAGAAGAGGCGGAGAATTATCCTAGGAGCTAATATGTTATCTCAAATGGAGGTCTTCCTTAATGAATCATTATTGTATCTCACTATACCGGATATTATCTCATTATTCTATATCTTTTTTGTTATCTTTTTAGTACTTTACATGAATTGTTATATTTCAGAGGGATAGTGTAACTAAACTGGAAGAGCAAACAACATCATTGAATCAACGTGTAGTTGAGCTTCAGAGAAGTCCATATGCTAAATCCAAACAGAAGGACAGTCTACTAGTCATGGATGAATTGTAAGATATTTATAAAAGATAGCCCTCCAGTTCGCCATCTATTCTTTGTCTGGAAATGATACTGGGGACAGAACACACATTTCCATGAAATTTCTAGAATTTAAGCAAATACCCTTTTTGCTCATATAGGCCAATACATGGACTTAATTGGAAATTCAGATGTTTTCTCATGGTATTGAGTTTGATTGGGCTTAATAATATGCTAGGAAATTGAACCTCCCCATAGTGTTACATTTGACACAGTAAGCAATTTCTCTGTATCCTTCGTGAAGTCCAGACTAACGCTTGACTCGGCGTGTTCAAGTACTTTATTAGGATTTCTGTCATTATACTGTAAGTTTTGGAATCTCAAAGATAAATGTAATTTGTATTTTATTTCAGAGAAAAAAAGGCATTACAATTATATGAAGACTTAGTTAAAAAACCAAAGGGTAAGAATATTGAAATTATATTTGCTTTTATGATTAGATTTCCATTTTTTGTCACAACCATACAATTGTTATAGTCTTTTTTGGACAGTGTTTGGTGGTAGGTGTTCATTGTTTGGAGTTCGGCAGTTGGTGTTTGGCATTCAGCGTCTATAACAAATGGGAAAATTTATATTTTTACGCCTTGTTTATTATATTTCACTAGTCAGTCTAAATGAACGCAATGAACATTTTTTCTGAAATTCTTTTTTACATGTGACAATTTGGATGTTAAAGATACTGGGTCAACTAACATTTATGGGCAGTTTTGTATAATTTATTTTTCAGATCAGCGAACTATGATGTCTGATAATTCAAATATGGTGAAAATTTTGTTCCGCTGCCTCAAACAACAAGAGATCCTAACTAATGAACTCTATCAACATTTAGGGTAAGACAACATTTTTGTGGAACCTATGACCTCTCTCTTGTGTTTTATCATGGACTTTCAACTTTGAAGCCCATGGTTTTATGTAACATTGATTTACAATTTGTTGTTGTTTCTGCGAGTCCTATTTTTACAAATTACCAACTAATGCACAACCTTTTCTACAATTTGTTCTTGTAGAAGAGAGCTTCATATGCACTCTTTAAGGTAGAATTGCTCCTTTGATCTAGCATTACACAATCAGGATACAATCTACAAAAATCCAGCTACCCAAAAATCAAAATATCATGGCTCTGATTTTAAATTAATACCTATAATTTATTTCATATTGAAACAGCTACTGTTTGGGGTCACTTTGACTCATCAACATCTAAAATGTATATTCATGTATTATATTTAATCTCTGATTAAATTTTAACATTAGTTCAATTTTTTATATAGGAAACTAGCCAGTTGTAGGTGCGAAATATCTGTATTGATATCACCTTTGGAGCATGCTCTGCTAAACATAAAGGCAGCTCTTAATAAACTCTCTCTCCATCAGCACCAGAGACAACAGGACATTTGGAAACTAGTTAAAGTGGCGGTATGATTTTAAAATGTGTTTTAGTAAAATTAAAGGAAATGTTTGGTATTAGCATCTGAGACATCAAAATCAAAGTAATTGAAGTTTAAAGGCCCCATGCAAAGTTTTAGAATTAACTTCATATAGGGACTTTGAAAAGCAGTCAGAGGTTCCAAAATTGAACAATTTCTTTGAAAACTACCCTCAGCTCACGTTTATCTTTTGCACCCTCCTAAATTGTATGATGTTTTTCAGACAAATCAAGCAAAAATGACCTCAGTGGGTAAAACAGAAGAGATAGGACCCCTCAATGCCCAAGAGTCAGCCAAATACACTACTAACCCAAGCATACAGACAGAACCTACATCATCTATACTGGAAAAGAACAAAGAAGAGTCATTACTCTTGATAGATAGGAACCAGTCAACGAGACACAGGTACAAAGCATTCAGTGCATGTATATTTTCATTGACATACAGAATCTGTAATACTTTGTACACCTGCAGGTCCATAGCCGGGGGGGGGGATGGTGCAAGTATATCCCTCTCAATTTTTTGTATGTAGGTAAAGGCTTTGACTTTGAGCCTGACCTGAACATGTTTTTATATCTCTTGATTAGTGACAAGAAAATATAAAAAATGTATGTTATCTCATTTGTCATTCCATCTAAAATCACATTTTATGTTTGAAACAAAATACTTAATTGAAAAAAGTGAGATAAAACATTTTAATTATTCTTGCACCAGATATGGGGGATATTGTTCATTGTTTAAGACTAATATTTTGAGTTTGTATTATACAAAAAACTATTACGGCTCATCTTATTGACACTCTCGTTTGATCAGCCAAATATTTTGATCTTCGATAAAACAGAATATAACATTTCAGATATTGATGCAATTTTAAATAAGAATGATATCTCAATATATTATATTGATTTAATTGATCAATAACTGAATATGTCCTTCCAGGTTAACTGATCTGCTGACATCGTTTCAAGATCCTGCTATGACATCAAGTATGCATTCTGACATCAATGACTGGCACTTCTTAGATGAACACAATTCTTGATTGAAACATGTTTTTGAAATTATTCTTAACGTGACATGTTTTTGAAATTATTTTAATGAATATTGATACATGAAACCAGTATCAGGACGTACAATGAATCATTTAGGATCTGAACTACTGAACACCAGCTGCGTCATAAGTGCTGTTGCCCTCTGAATGGTATACAATTACCCTAAACATATTGGGTACTCCATGCCCATCCTCTGATAAAAACTGGTCATTTTACAGTTGGGTGTTTAAATAATCGGAGCACTGCAGAGCCATTGTAATATCTTCACACATACATGTATTTAGAATCATCTTCAATGAATAACAGACTCTGATTGGCTCATTGAGTCTAGAGGTTTAACTGTAATGTAGAGTGAGATATAGTCAATTAGTCTTGTGAAGGGTTGTGCATTACCTCATATAAGAGTGATTCAAATTTTGCATGTATTGCATAATATTCCTGTATTAGCACTCTATGCAGAATGTGCTATACGAAAACAAGCGGTGCGGATATCATGTGCACAAGGTGCTGATATTAATGGTCATTTTTAATTTGATTTTGTGATATTTCACCAACTTAGGCATGTTGGGTACTTAATTATATTTATACATGTGTACAGGTCCCCTAATAAAAAAAGAAATTGTGTAAATGGGTGTGTAGTTCATTCTATAGCGACACATCAAGAAATAGTCTCTCCAAAGCAAATAATTTGAAATTGCAGCTGTTTCACAGCGTAAACAGCATTCATTCAATATTGGTGATCGAGATGACCCATCAATACAAATCATATTTGCATTTTGAAAGTTGAAAGGTTTCTGTTCAATTTTATACAAAATTGGAAACATTAAACAAAAAATGTGCTATCTCTAAACAAGCGGTTCGGATATGCGCGGATATCGGAAAAGTGACGATATTTGCACCGCTTGTTTAGAGGTAGCACATATCCAATAAATGTTTTAAATTTTTTTAATTCACAGAGAAAATTTATAACTTTCAAAATGCAAAAATAATTTATATCAATTGGTCATCTCATCACCAATACTGAATGAAGGCTGTAAACTCTGTTCAAATTCTTTGCTATGGAGCAAGGATGAATGCTTAGTTCGTCGTTAAAGAATGGATAATACGACTATAGACAAAATTTCCCTTTTATTAGGTATCCTCTAAAATGGATGACTATAATTGAGTACCCAACATTCCTTAGTTTATGAAATATCACAAATGCAAATTCAAAAATGACGGTTAATATCCCCACCTTGCACACAGTCATAATGTCGGCACCGCTTTTGATTGCTCATATCACAGTCTGTATAGGGTAATTAAGTTTCCCTCCTTATTCTTATGCAATAATAACCTACACATTAACCTAGGAAGTTCCACAAATGAAAGGTAGAGGATATACTAAATTTACATTACATGGTAGAGAAGATGCGTCTTTATAAGAAGTATCATTTATACATGTAAAAGGAGAACATAATGTTCATATTTGCCAAACTCCCCATACGACAGAGACAATTACCTGAGCAAGGACAATTAATAAATACATGTACGATACAATTATTAGAGGCTATAGAGACAAACAGTGGGAGGGATCTAAGCTTCAATTGCATATTATGTTCTGTGTGAAAACTAATATTCTGACCTTATCTTGAACGTATTGACACATTGCGCCAGTATATATTTACAGTTATATAGTCATTATTACATGTATTAGGGGGCGTCACATTTAATTTACCTTTCAATTGTGAATATAAAAGTACACACATTTGAATGTTTTTATAGCCTACTTGAATCAAGTGCAACAATGATGGAGACAAATTGCTACTATATATTGTGATAGTGAACACCCCCTTTAATTAATTAAAGAATTAACTGGTTGCATTATAAAAAAAACAGAAGCCGATATCATATGAACAGTATTACAAAAATAACCATACGCTTTCCTAAAAGTGATGCATTCATCACTTAGGGTCGGACAATTCTTTAATGTTGTATGTACACATGCAGTAAAACTCTATAAGTGAACAGTGAACACTACTTTCTAGTGAAGATTTGTCCCAATCAAAAACATTTTCAGAACGAAATCTCCGTACTATTAAGACTTGTAGTACCTGCATTGAGTTACAAATGTGTTTAATGTGTTTTCAATCAATGTTTATTAATTCAAAACATGTTTTCATGGATGATAGCTTAGGTTATGAAACTGTTATCGTGTTAATGTGCCAATGCACTGATATGTATGCATTATGTTATAATTAAATGCGCTTTTTAGCTTTAAATATATTTTTATAGTCAAACACATGAGAGACTTGTTATTGTTATTCTTACAACTAGAATCCTAAATGCTGTAGCTGTGTCGTAGTATGTTTTTATTTATGTTTTTTTTATCTAAAGATATTTATTCACTAAATCAAAAAGTAACACAGCACTCCGACTAATCAATCTGAAAAACTAATAATTAATCTGAGTCAAATAAAATACTTTTCATTATCACAACGGGAAACACTATTTTGTAAGCACTACTAAGAAAGAATACTTTATGTGTTATCCATAAGTAATAACCACGACTAACTACTAATTCTCAGGAATAAAAAGTTCACTCTATTGAGAGATAGATAGAGTTTATCCTTGGACCAGTTACGTCTTATCCGTGTGTCATATGACTACTGTGTTAATTAACTAAGTAAAGTATTCCAATTAAAAAGTGTTGTATGTTTGCATGCAGCAAGCGTTTAATAATTCTTCGCATATATAATATTGTCCATAAAAGAGTCTGATATATAATATTGTCCATAAAAGATCGGTCTGATAATTACAAGTAACTCATGTTTATTTTAAAACTATTCTTTACGAATTTATGATAAGTGTATAATGTTCAATGCTCGCCAGATATGGGGGTAACCAAGATATAATAATACATACAAATCACAGTCAGTGATTGTTCTCCACACTCACCCCTCCCCCTTCCTGACATGAACTATTTTGTAAAACCATTGACAGTGTGGAAAGGATTCTTACACTCGAGTGTCAAGGGGGGGGGGGGCAGTTATAAAAATATACAAGGCGATGGTTCAAATTGGACAATTTTCAAAACTGCTCAACATGGTGAAAACTTCACGTTAGTTAAAGAATGCTTGCCCGGCGAGTGGTTTGCTCTGGATTGCGAGAGAACAAAAACTTTGAATTAGGATTTTTCCTAATACTATCATTAATCTAAACAACTTTTTAAACCGTCTCTGATTACATATCATGCCAATTAATACCATTATTGTGTTGATAGGATTAAATATGATATCTATGGAATTATAATTTAATGAACTCAATAGTCTAAATGATAATAAGTTCATAATTTAGTCTTGGCTGACTAGTCTTGCATCATCAGAGTTGGATTGCAAATACCTCCCTAAATCAAATAATTTAAATTTACAAATTTACTAGTGTACGGGGTGGGGAAACAAGTCTCCATCCAACCACTAAAGTTTAAAAGGAAGACTATAGTGTCCCGTGAATTCATTATAATTATCTTAGACAATAGTGAAGCGGTACAATCATGGGAGTGTTAATTAATCGGAATGCAAGTTTGATTTAAAATAACTCCTTTGGATCAAATATTTAAATTCTACTAGAATGCGGGGAGTGGAAACAAGTCTCCATTCAAGCACTAAATATCAAAAGAAAGATTTCAGTACCCCTTAACTTCACTCCCGGACTTCACTATTCACCACCCCCCCCCCTTCCCCAGTTATCCCTTATGACCCCAGAATGTTCGTTTCTGTGCCCCCCCCCTGTCCATGGCCAGTAAGTAATCTACGTGTATATTGGCTCCCTCCCAAAGGTGGGAAAACCAGATGCAGGCATAGACATTGACAAGGTGAGGGGATTTAAATATAAAAATAGTCTTGTTTTTGGCTCCGACTTAAATATTTTGGCACTGTTTAACGAAGCCGGTTTAAGGAATGAGAGGCAGAAATAATTCCTAGAAATAAGATGGCCTGTCTATACTGTAATCAAGATGCTACCTAACCGCAGTTATTTTGGTTTTATAACGCCGGGGATATTGCTCGAGCTTGAATAACAAATAAAAGGCATGTTCTTATTTCTGTATTTAGTCCTTAGATTGTGTATTAAGTTGAGCTGCACGCCAAACGTTAAGATTGTTAAAACGCTTAAAATAAAACTTTATTCCTCTCAATTTACATAAAAATGAAACAGATTAGATTCGAATCTCAGTCACACCAGCCACTGGTCAAAGGAAGTACAAATATCTATATTAATCAAATGTCTGAGAATTTGATAACTGTCTGGGATCCAATGTTAATTTTATTGAATCAAACTAAGAAAAGTATAAAGATGAATTTTAAACGTTTAGAGGGAAAAGTCAAATATGCATTGTAACCCTAAAAATAATTCATTAAAGTGTCATACACATTTCATAACATTTATATAAATAAAACAAATAAAGCACAACCCTAATGCCCTAATGAATTCATATCGGCGCTAAACGGCCCTTGCAATAAAAACGCATCGAAGCAGGGAATGCTTGGAAAATTCTTCAGAGACTGACTTTTGTTATTTCAAAATTGAAATATGCCTAATTCCTATGAAATAATCAAATAACCACGCGATCTTTTTCCCTGGGTTTTACTCTATTTTAGATTTACTAGAAAAATGTTTATATGATGATTGCGTTTGCTTCTCACGAGTTCATTGAAAAGTTCAGTCATAAAACTTTAGAGATCAAAAGACTAATTAAGCACCTGATTGCGAAAGTTTGATTGCATTTCGATCGCTGGGATTTTACAAACGTATTGTTTAAGTAGCGATCGTGTTCTTGGGATCTTGATAACTTCCTATTTTAAGTTTTGGGTTGAAAGCAATGAGTATGTCGGACTTTCTCAAGTCCATATAATGAAACAATATCCCTTTATATTAGTCCAATCGGAATTTGCATAAACATACCAGTTTTTATTGCAAAAAGAACTGTAATTAATTATCGCACCCCCCCCCCCTCCTGGCTACGCCTATGGATATTTTGGCAACTTTCACGTTTACCCCGCCCCCTAATAATTTTTGCACCCCCTCTAAATATCAGACCCGTCAGGCGTTGAGGCATGGATCAGGATACCCTGACTCCCAAGCTGTGCGACTTCTGGCAACCGCTACACCTTTATTCCCGGGGAAAACGCTTTTAGAAAAATTGTCAAATATGGTCGTGTGTGGGCAAACACGGAGGAGGAGGAGAGGGATGCGTGCATTGCGTGCGACCCTTCATCAGTTATTTTTGTATGAATCTCTTCCGAATAGTTATGCTTCTAGAGGGGTTCTGATATTTATTTCTGTTTTCAAATGAAATAATTTCACCCTTGCCCGACTGACTTGTAGATAATGCACGAATCAAATAGCATGGAGATCAGATAATCAGATTGATTCGTATTTTCGCAATCAGATGAATTAACTTATTGTTTTCTCTGATTAAAAAGCGGTTTGAAGCTACTTTTACAGGATTTGTAAATTCGCAATCAGACTGGCTTATTTTAATATTTAGTCAGTGCAAGAGGAGGGGACTATTAATGTAGAAAATTGTTTTGATTTCGACACTAACTGAATAATTTATCACAATTGTTAAATACGCAAACAGAAACAGGTTTAAAAATGAGAATAGAGGCAAAAAGTCTATACATAAAATGTAATTAAAACCCGGGAATTAAAAGCAATTTTAGACTGTTAGATGATCTCTTCTGTAATCAAGGTGATGTTGGTACACTTCCGCCGTTAGAAAAACAAAGACTAAGACAAAGACTATATAGCAATTAATCCTTTTGTAATCATTGAATGTTAGATTCTTATTATTTTGTTGGACAATGTTCAGACTTCTGACCAAGATTAAATCATTTATGTTTGTATTTAAAAAATAGTATTTCAATCAGACAGACGTGCTAATGAGTTCGAAAAATACATTTGTCCATTTCCTCTCAAGAAGTTATCAAAGGTAATCAAGTCGATTTGTTTGAGTGTTTAGCATTGTTTTTCATAACTTGACGCTTCCATGAACAGAATGACTTTGAAATGAGTTTTTATAATTTTAGCTTTTATACTAGTCTTGCTCAAAGACTGTATCCACCCCCCCCCCCCGTCACCTTCACTCTCTTTACCTGGCAATATACAGAGAGAGAAGGATAAAGGGGGGGGGGGAGTACAGGGTCTTTTAAGCAAGACTACTTTTATACGGACATGCTTATTGTATATTTCTATATGAACGTTGTAGTTATGTGATGTAACATCGCCCCCCCCCAAATTACAGGTATACAAATTTTGATCGGAATGCATTAACTTGCAATTAAAAGCAATTTTAGACTGTTAGATGATCTCTTATGTAATCTAGGTGATGTTGGTACACTTCCGCATTTAAGAAAACAAAGACTAAGACAAAGAGAACTAAGCAATTAATCCTTTTGTTATCATTAAATTTTAGATTCTTATTTTTTGATTAGACAATATTAAGACTTCTGTCTCCGATTGTTATGCAGGTATGTGTATAAAATCATGTGAACAACATTATCGTGGAAACTCCCATCTTCATTCTCATAATGTCTTACAGCTATTTCGCAAATGACATACTCCTAAACAACATATGGACATGACGATAATATTGCAGAACTGAGCGAAAAGAAAGGTGGAACAAATCAGATTAAGATATTTTATTTTTGAAATGCACAAAGGGCAACAGTTGAAGTACAAAAGTTAAAGGCGTTTTGAAATAGATCGTGCTTTTATATGATCCCCTATATATGATCCCTATAATACCCTACCCTTTGCATTTGTTCGACTTCACTTCTTAAATGAGAGTTTCGTCTTCTCGTAGTTTATAATTAGACTCTGCACGCAGCGTAATAGTGCCCCTATTATCCATGTTCAGGGGCGTAGCCAACTTTCAGTCGGGGGGGGGGGGGGGTGCAATCGCCAAAAAACAATAACGGTTTTCAGTCGGGGGAGGGGGTTGCGATCGTGGCAAAAGCAAGCCAAAAGATGCAACTTCCTTCAAAATTGAGCTTGAAGCTTCTATATCTTCTTCTATTTCTTGGTTCTATTTTATTGATTATGCACCGCAACCCCCCCCCTGGCTACGCCTATGCCTGTCGAGAGACAAAAAGAGAAGCGAAAAGACTGTTAAAACAAGTACTTCCAATAAATACTTTTACTTCCAATAAATACTTTTACAGTTATATGTGTTTATCAACGACCCTACTTGTCAAATTAATAGAAACGAAAACTAAATTCTTTCATTACGCGAAAACCGTTGAAATATCTACCTGATTCGCTGGAATAGTCATTAGTCACATTATTTCAGAGCAAACAATTAGCATCTACTATAATATTTATTTTTCTATCCGATATACAACTGATATTGATATCGTTCCCCGGACAATGTGTTATCTCATGATCCGTTGACATCATCAACAATTTGATTTACCACAAGAGAGTAACCAACATTCCTTAATTAAAAAGTTGACATTTCTTGAATTTTATAGCAAAAACACTATGACACAATAACATCGAGGCAAAATCAAAACATGGTGTGGAAATAAAAGGCATACAAAATGGCCATTAAAATGAAATTTTTGTTCATAAAAGTATCAACTTTATTACATTGGACGCAAATACAAAGTATAAAATAAATAAAAATAACGTCTTCCCAGAGATTACAATACGGATCAGTAAGTCAACAAATCTAACTGTTAAATAAACAAACTTAGCCCATGTCTGCAATTGTTCGTCTGCTGGTCAGAACTCGGTATCCTCTTCGGATAATCAATTTCTGTGACTACTGATGTCTTAAATAATTCATAAAGGCGACGTTGTCTTTAAATAAGGATCTTTAATCTACAAACTGTAAATAAATAGCGTGAGTCCGGGATCGTAGACAACAACATTGATACCTTGCTGTCCTTGCTGTCTACTAAGAGACTTATACATGCATAAGTTATCTATCAAATTATTTTTCTTTAAATATTAAATGTCGTCTAAGTTTGTTTTAATGATTAGTCTTCATCTAGATTCATTAATCATCACGATATTTATATATACATATTATGTAATAGACCTATCATATCACGTCCGTAGTTACAAAGTCAACTACATATTAATGCAATAGAATAAGACTCAATAATTAAAAAAATAAACCTCAGTATTCGGGCCTAAAAAACACAGATAAGTGTATCAATACCAACGGGTAAGCTCAAATAACCTTCCAGATAAGTGTATCAATAATCAAGGATTGCGAGTACTAAGGACCGGGTAAGATGGTTGTAACATTGGTATTGCTAGTTATTAAACACGATTTTGTCTTGTGTATAGCAATCGTGTACCTCGAGAATGTTGTAGAAATTCAGAACAGTTTGAACTGATCTTGAGAGGAAAGGAATACTGTGAACATTTATCATCACATCTTTGTGGTATTGATATAAAGTGAATTGCCGTGTGGTAGATTATCACACATAAAAATGAGATGGCATGCCCTTCCCTCAGTGTGATACTCTATCGGTTGATAATATATACGATCAAGAGTTTTACGTACATTTATGACCCTTTCTAGTGTTATACACCTGTTCACTCGTATCGTTTTACCATCTTTGTATTTTTGAAGTACCTTGAGTTTACTTTCTACTTTTATCGTACTTAACCCAAGGTTCCCATTACATTTAATGTTGAGCACAATCTTAATCGTATATCATTTAAATTGAAGTTTGGACTGTCGAAAATATCAAAATGCCCTATTAGATGGAATTTCTTTCATTGAATTCTTTTTTTTTAACAAAACTAAAAGATTACGAGAAGATTATGAAAATGGATCTTTAGCAAGGATAGATCACACCTTCCAAATCTGATAAAATTAAAAGAAATGCAAAAATGCACGAAAGTAGTGATACTCAGACTGGTAAGAACGAAACGGAACCAGAACAAATTACACCTCAAGTGGCTGTTCATAGAATAAGCTTCCGCGGACTTACAGGGATTATATTCTCTTTGCTTGGAGTCTCTCTTCTGATCTACGCAGTTGGGTTTCTTGGTACCAGTTGGAGTGTACAGGGAGAAACGCATCAAGGCCTTTGGAGTACTTGCCAATGTCGGGCGCCCAAACAAGGTAATACTGAAGTTAAGAATCGCGTTTTTAAGAGAAGTTGAAATATCATGACAACACGGGATAAAATTCCCCTCTAAATTATTTTGGTTTTTCTACCATTATTACGCATAACTTGAACATGGATGTTAAACTACACGATTTTTAGAGGAACTTGTATAAGTTTACGTAAACGTGAAATATTTTGACCACCATGGATTACTGTGAGACACAAGCGGGGACACAAGCCACTGCACTAATAAATTCCACTCCGTTGATATTGCTTCAGGAGATACGACCCCTAGTTATGTCACCACAAGTGGTAAGTGGTGACATATTGTTATAGTCTCCAAACTTTTTGTGGATAACATGACAATTGACTTGAACCTGCCATATTATTTCAGGACCATGGTTGATAGGGGCACAGATTCTCACTACATTAGGTCTAATAGGCCTGGTCGTATGCCTTGCAGCCACTGTCATCTACATGACTGTACATACGATTAACAAAAACAAAAGTCTCCGTGCTCTGATCTCTTCATGTTTCATAACAGGTATATTGTTCTGATATTATTACATAAAAGAGAGAGACTTATCACGGAGGACACTGGAAAAATTGCCTGTAATTATTTTCAATTTTAAATAATTGTTTGTAAAATCATGGGGTTCGAATCCTGTAACTGATTTTCTAAAAGAATTTCCGATTGTTTTTTTTTTGACGATTGTTACATTCGTATCAGTTAGGTAAGGTTAAACATGTGGCGGTGTTTATGACGAATAGTGGTATCAAATGTATTAAAACACAACGAAGCTGCAGTGATATCTACAAATTACATTGTATTTAATTGCATATTTATCCTTTATGCTTTCCGCCGTAAAACTGGCGATATGATGACGTATATTCTCTAATTTGTTCATCCATATCATGTTTCAGCTATCCTTATGGTGTCCGGCTTCATCACTTATGGATCCCATTATCCAGGATTACACTGGTCATTCGCTTTCTGTACCATCTCTATGATAATAACGTTGGGGGCTGGAGGACTATCTATTAAACAAATGCTGGATTCAAAAGCAGGAACAGTTGCTTAAAAATGACGGAACTCTTGGATGAGCAAGTTTGACAACTTTATTTTTAGGCCGACTGCATGGCTGCTTGCGGCAACTTTTTGTTTACTGTAAAACGGCTATTGTTAGCGAGGGGTAATTGTTAGCGATTGTTAGCGATCGCTATAGTGTCGCTAAAAATTCAATTCGCTAAATAAATCGGGGTTAAAATAAACCGGGCGCTAAAATTTGCAAATTCCCGGGAAACTACATGAATACTAGTATTTAAGGAGCTTTTCGTTCAGTGCTCGACTTCCGGTTTGTAATTTGAAAAAGATAAATATTTTTAAATCGTATATTTCTTTCAGTATCTGAAGGATTTCGCTAAAATTTCCCGCGCTAAAACCCCCTAAAATTGAAAAATCGCTAAAATTTCCCGGTGTCAAAATTACCCGTTTTACAGTATATGGTTTTGTACTTTAATTTGTTAATCACCCACTCCTTTTGAACTTTGTACGCTTATATCTGTACTATTTGTGATAAAAATGAAAATACAAATACCCTATTTTTTATATTAGAATTTGTGACGTATTTTTTGGAGACTCGGTTTTAGGGAGACAGGGTTTGAACTTTGAAAGCTCAAGAGTGTAATACGGTTGTATTATCATCTTTAAACTACTTTGGGGAACACCTTTACAGTAATTAACTGCGGAAGTGTTGGATTTATAGTACGTGTACAGGGTGTCAAAAAACAACAGCATCCCCCTCTACAGCAAAATGTACTTAATGTTACATAGTGTGTCATATCCCATTTTAAAGACAATTTAATTCTGGAGTTACTTGAGAAATTTCAGCTCCGTATGATATAATTTTGCAGATTTACAGCTGATTTTAAGTAGTTGGTATGGCCATCACTTGTCGCTCGAAAAGCAGCTAATCTGGATGGATATGACTTCAGTGAAGATTCAAAGAGAGGTTAAGCATTGCGTAATCCTTAAAGCACTTTCCTCATATTCTTCAGAAATACATCCTTACTGTATCTATTTTCAAGAGGCCCCCTCTCCATCAATTCCCCTACCCTGTCTTTCACAATTGAACCTATATGTTCAGCGTAGTTGAGATCTGGGCTATTTTCTACATATTAATCAATTCCAAGATTTGACCTTAAAGCAGTAATAAAGTAGCAAACAAAGTACTGAAGTAGCAAACATTTAAGAATTTTTGCTGTAGAGGGGGGGGGGGGTGCCGTTGTTTTTTGACACCCTGTACATTACTATCTATTCTGTATACCAATCATTATTGTAGCACCCCAGGGGCAGTGTGCTCTTTAATTACCGATAGATGTTGGTAGCGTAGCGAATAAAATAGCACAACCTACTCCTGGGGGTGCCACGGGTAATCCCCAGATGGCGCTCCCTCCCTGAAGCCGTCAAATGGGAAAAAGCGAACAGAATAGTGAATTAATTTGAATTACAATAAGAATATAGCTTCTTTATTAACTAAAATTACATCATTTTGTTCGAAAATAATGATAAATCATGAGGATAAGTGTCAATTAAAACAGATCTAAGAGAATTACTGATGCGCTAATCAAATCTAAGGAATGCAGATAAATGCAATGTCACGTTGCGACTTCTTAGCCGCTCTCAACCGCTCCTGGGGGAGAACTGGCAGCGCTGCTAGGTTGGATGATCGCTCCCCGCGCAGCTATCTTTCCTCTCGCTTGGCCGAGCGGGAGGGGTAGCGCAGAAAGGAAGCAACACACCAATGCCAGCCATGACTTGCGGAATGAAATCAATTACCATAAATTACATTGATCATTTTTCTAAAGAATATTTGAATGCTCAAGCCAGGACCTTACAGGTATACGAGAAGTTGAAATGAACTGATGATTCTTACATTTTGAAAATGACTTCACCTTAAAACATGAAATTTAGCATGAAATTACACAAATTGGGAAGAATTAAAAGATGATTAGCTTACCAAAACAATGATTTATCCAAATAATATCCTAAATATATCCAATTAATATGACTTAATCCATAAAATCAAGATAAAACAAAAGAATCAAAAAGCGCATCTTGTCCCTGCAAAATCCCAGCAGAAGAGACAGTTGGTTTGAACTGAGCATGGAACTAAAATTTCACTGGCATGAATCTATAAGTTAAAAATTATTACATGAAAAAACAAACCGAGAAATTCTATGGGGCTGCTACTGATAGGTGTGAACTGTTAGAATATACAGGGCTTTACAATTAATGTACAAAATACAAGATAGCTATAGTTGATATCTGAGACAGGTCCAATTAATTGATAATATTTAAACAAATTCCTTAATAAAATGAAATTATTACAAAGTGATTACAAATCCAATCTTTAATTGAAACAAAAGTAACGGCACAAAAAATATTACATATAGTTGGGTCGTTACATACCTCCCCTCTTTGAAAAGGCATGGCCTAACCTCACAAAACTATGAAACATAACAATAAGTCATTGAATACCACTCTAAATATACATCAAATGTTCATAAAATGATTTAAAAGTAATACATAGTATGTTTCAAAATAATCCTGGCATTTGCCCGGCTGCTCCACCAAGTGATGGATGAACGTAATCAATAGGAGCGCTGGCTCTTCTTAGCGCATCCAGACAGCTGCTATCAATGAATTGGTGTAAAATTTGCATATGATCTGGTATCATTCATATAATAAGCCACTGGGTTGTCCATATGTTTTATCACTGGAATAGATGATAGAGAAAATCCCCGTCGACTGAGATTGCCTATATATAATCACTGGATCGGCCATATGGTATACCACTAAACTGTCATATATGTCTCTGAATCAGAAGTTACTATGAAGCTGGCATGTAGTTGGTCCCAGAATGTCCATGACGTAGATTTATGTACGATAGTGAGCCAAACACCTGGAAATACTAAACATAGAGTGGTAGACAAGACGTTTAAAACTTATCTTAAATACAGTCACATTTATTACAAAGTGAATACTAGCTTAAAATTACAATGATAGCTACTAGTATTATTAAATATCTAAATCATCATCAACCATAATGAATGCTAAAGTTTGGCGAGCTATTCTCAGCCTGGTTAGAAAATGCCTTATATCAGGTCTTTTAAATAGTTAATACAAAAATTAGAGAATAACTAAATAGCATAAAATAAAAAGTACACGTGCGCTATCAATCACAAGCAGCGAACATCCTGGTAGACATCATAACTGCTGCTCTGTGAAAGTTAGCCGACAGGCAAATGCAAGCTTCACAAATCAGAGCGCATCACTGCATATCCTGTCATCGGGGTAAAACATTCGCTGATCCAGATTCTCTGTGGAAAGGTCCTTCCTGCACACATCACAGTGCTTGATCAGCCCAATGCTTTACAAGGTGCTCCAGGTCCACTCGTCTCAAACTAAAGACCATTGCAATAGTCCCCTGTTCAAATCCACCTGCACCAATGGAGGGGTCTACCTCTGGCCCTAATACAGCAAGCCTGGTGCCCTCGTGCGGTCCGGCAAGACTAGATGGGGAAACCAACCCAAGTAACTTAAAGGCTCATTAGCGATGTAGGCTACGTGATTAAAATTTGGGGTTTGAAGTATATGTCTTCATTCAATTCATTTACAAAGCATCCTGAAGCCAATAAATGGGGTCCACTCTTACCTCTAGCTCGCCTTTATCTGCCCATATGCCTTCACCACACGAACAGACATGTCCTAGTGGAGGTGGGACAAGCATCAGTTTGAGACCACTTCAAACAATCGTCCAGGGTCAACACTATCAAGCGCTTCAGCAAGAGCTTTTGTGAAACACAGAGCTTTACTGCGATAATTATCTTTAGCGCTAAATTTTTCCATCTCAACATCGCTGGGGTGATCAATCCAAGCGAAATGTATCGCTAAAGCCACTCAATGCAATCAAGAGGGGCGGATCATTGAGTGTCGGATGACATAAGCTTGATACACGTGAGACGTAGCGCCTCCCCAAGACAAGAGTTTAGCATCAACTCACAGCAAGATATCACCATTGCCTTGCAGGAAACGGGACGCTTCTCGTCTACAACAACTGCTACTGGATTGTAGAGCCATTGCTATTCCTAATATATTTCAGCAATGATAATAGCTTGGCCATTCCAAAAGCGTTCAGCCAAAGTGCAGCTTGGGTGATTCAAGCGCAAAAAGGCAAACAACTTTTAGCCTAGATATTTGTGGAATAACACACGATTCTCAGAATGTAGGCCTTCTTTCATCTGTACGTAACTCCACCACAGCATCATCTTCCCAAGAAAAATATGATCAAGGCGCATTGAGCCCAAGATATGTATATTGGATCAAGGCGAAGACGAAATGCGACCAAGAATGCGCCATGTGCAATCCATTGGCATATGGACTGCATCTAGGGGCGATCCATTGGCGATCCCCAATCATGACATCCGAATCAAAAGATGTATAAAATTTTATTGCAGATATAGGATGTACACAGTACATAGGCAAATCAATTATTATTTCCTACTCCAATGTCCCTTTAACTATTATATACACAGAACAGACTGTTCTCAGCTGGATATGTACATAGTACAAACTGGTTCGATACTGTACGTAAGTGCAGGATCCAAGTTTCACGAATCCTAAGGCTTACCAATAGCCAAAGGAACCGGCTCTAATGCATCTGGCGTGACTAAAATCACCATGTCACAGCCATGGGATAATGCAGCACAATCAGTGAAATGCGCGTATTTCAGGACAATCAATTTGTGCTAAAATGAAACAGCAGCATAATAAATACGTGTACATGTATGTGCTTTATATACGATGAAAGCAGCACAATCACAACATGTCTGCGTCGGAGCGGCACTATGAAGGCGCTCGATCACACCGCTGCCTGACCAATGTAGCACCCCAGGGGCAGTGTGCTCTTTAATTACCGATAGATGTTGGTAGCGTAGCGAATAAAATAGCACAACCTACTCCTGGGGTGCCACGGGTAATCCCCAGATGGCGCTCCCTCCCTGAAGCCGTCAAATGGGAAAAAGCGAACAGAATAGTGAATTAATTTGAATTACAATAAGAATATAGCTTCTTTATTAACTAAAATTACATCATTTTGTTCGAAAATAATGATAAATCATGAGGATAAGTGTCAATTAAAACAGATCTAAGAGAATTACTGATGCGCTAATCAAATCTAAGGAATGCAGATAAATGCAATGTCACGTTGCGACTTCTTAGCCGCTCTCAACCGCTCCTGGGGGAGAACTGGCAGCGCTGCTAGGTTGGATGATCGCTCCCCGCGCAGCTATCTTTCCTCTCGCTTGGCCGAGCGGGAGGGGTAGCGCAGAAAGGAAGCAACACACCAATGCCAGCCATGACTTGCGGAATGAAATCAATTACCATAAATTACATTGATCATTTTTCTAAAGAATATTTGAATGCTCAAGCCAGGACCTTACAGGTATACGAGAAGTTGAAATGAACTGATGATTCTTACATTTTGAAAATGACTTCACCTTAAAACATGAAATTTAGCATGAAATTACACAA